CGGCTCTGTTTCCACTGGTAGCTCTGGTTCCTCTGGCTCTAGCTCAGGTAGTTCCAGCTCCGGCTCTTCTAGTTCCTCTAGCTCTGGCTCTTCTGGCAGCTCTGGTTCTTCAGGCTCCTCCGGTTCGTCTGGTTCCTCGGGCTCCAGCTCCTCCGGTTCGTCTGGTTCCTCGGGCTCCAGCTCCTCCGGTTCGTCTGGTTCCTCGGGCTCCAGCTCCTCCGGTAGCTCTGGCTCGTCTGGCAGCTCTGGCTCCTCTGGTTCTAGCTCCTCTGGCAGCTCTGGCTCGTCTGGCAGCTCTAGCTCTAGCTCCGGTAGCTCTGGCTCGTCAGGCTCCAGCTCTGGTTCATCTGGCTCCAGCTCTGGCTCGTCTGGCAGCTCTGGCTCTGGCTCTGGCTCAGGTTCATCCGTCACTATTCCCGCTCAGACCAGCACCCCTTACCCATCTGGCGTTTCCCCGACTTCCGCCACCTCCACTGCTGTTTCTCCCGCTTCCGGTTCTTCTGGCTCTGGTTCCGGCTCGACTGGCAGCTCTGGCTCCAGCTCGGGTAGCTCTGGTTCTTCTGGCTCCTCTGGTTCTTCTGGCTCCTCTGGTAGCTCTGGCTCCAGCTCTGGCTCCTCTGGAAGCTCTGGCTCCAGCTCGGGTAGCTCTGGATCTTCTGGCTCTTCTGGCTCGGGTTCCTCTGGCTCGGGCTCTGAAAGCTCTATCGTCTACGAGTACACTTCGTACAGCACCAGCTTCTCGACCTACACCACGGAGTATGTCACTGCCCCTACCGTCACCATCACCGCCGCTCCTACCGCCACCGGCAGCGTTCAGACCGTCACCGTCATCAACACGGTCACCGTTTGCGGATGCGACTAAATACACACACAATGGACGATGCGACAAATCTCATTTGATACGACGAACTGGAACTTTTAGGGCACCGAATATGATGGCTTAGAAATTTGGCGGCTCAGAGACGAACTCGTCTCAACCCCGTCCTCAATGTTTAATTCTAATTGTATATTTTCATTTCTTGATTTTCATGTACTGTTACTTTTGTTTTGGCCGTGGGTGACGCCTGCTGCTTTGCAAAATTCGAGGCGATGGATACCTTCGAGGCCTGGCCTGTTCAAACTACTCCACATTCCTTTACAATGAAGAACATAACCATCAGTTAACTACTTATCTTAACTGGCTCTTAAACTAGAGTTAATTTAACATAATTTAACTTCTACAATAATGGATTCAAACAATGGACATGCCGGTCCGTACCTTCAAAAATAATTGACCGAGAAATCAGAAACTATCATCCACTAACCGACTCCATGGTTGCCGAAATCTGGCCAGATTCTCGGACAGACTACCCATCATTCAATCGTATGGACTACGTTAGAATATGGATATTTCGAATGTCCAGATGCCGAGACCTACTACATACTCCGTTGCTCGATATGGAGAGTCTGGAGATCTGATACTGGTAGCGAGGCGAAAGACGCAATGAAATCCGTAAGAAAGGGCATCTATCTGCTTTGAGATCTAGACAGGATACTGAAAGGATTACCGGTAATGATTATGGTTTCTATTTTTTGAGTTGAATTTCCTAGATGCTTTGTATGTTTATGTCACCTACCGGTTTCACCTGAGGTGCGGCGCATTGCAACCAATTTTTCGCGCAGTAATCTTTCGCGCAGTTCCAAGGAGGGGAATTTCAGAGGCTTCGTCTTAGTTGCCTGTAAGTTGGTAGAGCGTTAGCATGATCGTCTTATTAAAGGGACAGGAAAGGAAATGAGAGTTGGAGGCCGGGGGGAGGGAGTTGAAAACAGACATGAAAGGGTACTATTTGGTCGATCTAGAGCAGACGAGAAGTTGATTTAAAGCCTCGAGGTCATTCACGCACCTCATCCGCCTCCTTCATCTCTTTGTCCGAGCTCTCGGTTGGCTGCTGAGGTGTCTTTTTGGAAGCGGTGTGTTCTGAATCAGTCATTCTCTGGCGTTTCTCAGTGGGGATAGATACGGAAGAGGTGTTACGCCGTCTTCGGGCGGAGGGAGCATATCTAGGGATGGAACGACGTCTTTTTCTATCCCTCGTGTGGCTGCGGCTGCGGGACCGAGAATTAGAAGGAGAGCGTGAAACCGAACGCCGTGGGGTCCCGCTGCGAGAGCGGGTGCGTCCCCTGCTGCGGCTCCGACGTCCGCTGCGGCCGTCGGTTCGGTTTCGGCTGCGACTCAAGCGGCGGTCGTCACGGTCATGGCGGGCCTTGACAATATCAGCGGTGGGTTCTTTTCTATCAACGCGTGAATCGCGAGGTGGAGGTGATCTCCTTCGCCTGCCACCTCTTTCACCCGGGGTGCGAGATCTCGATCTCGACCCCGATCTGGACCCAGAGGCCTCCCTTTTTCTGCGGCGATCCTTCACGGCAGGCGATCGCGAGGAACTGCGGGACGAAACGGATCTGCGTCTCCTTCGGTCTCTTCTGGGGGAACGTGAGCGCGAGGAATCACTGCGGGAAATGGATCGAGCGCGATCACCGTAATCAGGACTTTGTCTCCTTGGCTTCCCGTGATTCCGTCTGTCAGGAGACACAGAGCCGCTGGGGGACCGGCGACGAGTGTCTCTGGGTCGGGTGCGGGGTTCCTGGCGTGGCCGGCGCGGCGGCGGCGAACGTGACGAAGATAGAACGCGGGAAGGTGAACCACTTGGCGATCTTGAGGACCGACGGGTTCGACGAGACCCAGTAGGAACGTACGAGTCTAACTCGCGTCTTCGAGGCGGTGGTTCACGAAACCGATCGCGGCTGTTTCGCCGAGGCGGTGATCTTGAAGGTCTCCGGTTGAAGTCCCGACCCCCTCGACCCCCCCTTCCTCTTCTATTTCTATCGGCCCTTTCTCGTTGCCGCAGATCTTCGATCTCTCGTTCTCTCGTCCGCTCTTGCTCCTTGCGCTGTCGAGCTTCCTCCGCTGCTTTCTCGGCTGCGGCCTGAAGAATGGTCAGCCCGTTGAACGATAGGATCAAGAAAATCCCAATGGTCTAATCACTTTTTCTTGTATCAGCTCGAGCTTCTTCGCCTCCAAGAGTTCTTTGGGCACGCCCTGGGGGTTCTCTTGAGCGCTGAGGCACAAGGACCAGAGCTCTTTACAGAATCGAGGTGTATCTCTATCAAGGAATCCGGTGAGCTGAATTTGTAGGGATCGAATATCCGGCTATCAGGAAAGAGCCAGTCACATTAGTTTTCCATGAGCACGACCCCTGGGGTACAACCTGTAAACTTACATAGCGCGACCCTTCGAGAAGGTTGAAGCAGAGCTCAATAACCACATCGTCTTCATTGCCCAAAATCTCGGAAATTTTACTAGCAATCCACCTGTAGTCATGACCGTCCGTTAGCCCAACACCCTTCACCAGCGCTTGCCTCAGACCGGTTCTCACTTCTTCATCACTTCGATATTGACCTTGTTCATGTCTACCTTCCGGCTGAATTCGGGAGGGAACTTGGTCTGCCTGAGCAGTTTGGCATCCACGCTGGTCGCCATCTTGCCCGCTAGCTTCAGAAAGCCGCTCTTAGCTGGATAGTTGGAGAGAGGGATGGTTACTTGGTAGAGAACGGATTCCGTGACGCGCGATCACCAAGCGTGTTCGGATAATTATCGGCCCGAAATGTATATTTCGACACCTGAGGCATACACAAATACGTTCAGATTATTCTGACTTGAACTTGCTTGGATATATTGTGTGTATATCAATTTCATCGTGGATCATCTCGTTAGAAAGCATTAAACTCGTGATATCATGAAGTTGTAGAAACAGAATATAAAGGGCCTCAGAATAACGACAGCTCTCTGAGGACTCGGCTCACATCTTCTCTTGCCCGAGATAGCTCTTTGTCCACCTTCCCATCCACATGTCTTGTTTTTACCGCGTAATGCAGGTCTACCAACTCTTTTGCCCGTTCTAGCTCCTGATTCCGGCTGGATGGCTCCTTTACATTGGTGGAATTCTCCAGCAGGCCACCCCCAGACACCTTCTTGTTCGCGGTAACGAGAGCGAGAGCATCACTGTAGTCCTGCCATGGGGTTAGCTTATTCGAAACGTGTATAGATAGCTAGCAAAAGCATTCCCATTGCCAAAGAAAAAGGTGAGAGGTAGCAATGTGTGACGTACGCAAACTCGTAGAGACGTGAGGTCCGATAGAATCTCAGCGACCTGCATGCTGGGAAACCTAGTAACTCCAAGAAGAAATGATAAAAAACTGCAGTATTAAATGTTAATGAACATTAGAGGATTAGCCTGCAAGAAGGTTGACCGTAAAGAAGAGGTAGATAGATAGATAGTGGTGGACTGAAGTTAGGAGGTATCCTTGAAGCGTGTTGTTGTCTAAGAAGATGATAGGGTGTTCCAAAAAGGGACAGGCGGGACCAACAATGACTTCAGCGGGGAGGTTCTTATATAAATAGCCCACTATCCTCTACAGAGTAATTCTGTGTTGATTTCCATCTATCTTGATTCTTTTTTTCTAGTATGACCATGTCTCAACTCCCAACCGATCAGGAGTGACTACGGAATACTACATGTACTACAAGTGGGTGAGATGACGGGCGCCTGCAGCTTACGACATTCTGCGACAGAGTATCAGAATCCCTCCATTCGTCATCCTATCTTCGCACCGTCCAGACTCTTGCAAGCTATTGCTACTCCGTATCGACCAGGATTATCCCAAAAGTACTTCTCCATCACGATGAGAAAACTCGCTACCGCTATTATCTTTATCCGTCCATGTCTCCGGCGCTACTCGACACCCCAGGCTGTCCACCATACGAAGCAAGTCTTTCGTTTGAGGGATGCTCAATATCCAATAGATTGATCCGTCCGCCGTCTCCATCTGCATGCTGTCAAATCCCCATCTCCGTCTTGGATGCCTGCGAAACGCGGGGAAGGAGGGCCAGCGGATCAAGTCTGCCGTATTTCGGAGGGGCTCCGCAGGCTTTCGCACTCGGACGGACGGCACCTAAAAGTAGCTTCCAGGTCTCTCTGGGCCTCTTATTTACACCTGCAACCTCCACGGTCTGTTTCGCTGCACCAGTGATTTTTTTTCTCCTTCATCCTCTCATCTACTGTGAGTTGCTCGTACTAGCTGTCGACTGTTTGGCGTGATTTTGCTGACCCCTACGGACTAGTCCGACAGTCACCATGGCCGCCTCCATCCGCGCCAACTGCAGAAAGGTTGTCTGCATTGGCCGTAACTACGCGTACGTTCTTCATTGAAATCTAGAGATATTGATAGAAGGAAAAAGAGAGAGAGAGAGAGAGAGAGAGAGATTCTTGCTGACCTTTCATTTCTAGCGACCACATCACAGAACTTAACAACACCAAGCCCAAGCAGCCCTTCTTCTTCCTGAAGCCTACCTCCTCCATCCTTCTTCCAGGCGAGGGCCCCGTGCTGCGTCCCAAGGGCATCAACCTGCACTATGAAATCGAGCTCGGCGTTGTGATGGGCCGGACCGTTCGTGACTTGGACCCGACAGATGAGAAGGGCGCTCTGGATGCGATCGAGAGTGAGTGATGAAATCATGAGGAGCGAAGGAGGCTATATGTAATAGTCCATCATTAATAATATTTTCCAGGCTACGTTCTTGCTATCGACATGACCGCCCGGAACGTTCAGGAGGAAGCGAAGAAGAAGGGCCTCCCCTGGTCGATCGCCAAGGGGTTCGACACCTTCCTCCCTATCTCGGAGGAGATCAGCAAGGCACGCCTCCCCAACCCTCACGACGCCTTCCTGGAGCTCAAGGTCGGATCCGACGTCCGCCAGTCCGACTCGACCAGCCTGATGCTCTACCAGATCCCCCGGCAGCTGGCCGAGATCTCGCGCGTCATGCAGCTCGAGAAGGGCGACATCATCCTCACCGGCACGCCCAAGGGCGTCGGCCCCGTCGTCTCCGGAGATATCATGACTGCCACCATCTCCGTCGGTGGCCAGGAGATCTCCGAGGGTAGAATCGAGGTCGCCGTTGAGGATAGCACCGGCGCCTACGAGTACAAGGAGACCTAAATGGAGATCCTTCTCTGTTTTTTAGATCTTCTCATCTGTAAATATTCACAGAACGCTGAAATACAGACATACATAGTACATGATCAACCGAATATCGTAAAGTAAGAAAAGGGAAAAAAAAAGGAACAATAAACCCCGCCAAACATAAGCCATAAGTCATTATCATTATCATCATCCCATGTCAAGACGTGATTCGTATCCAGACCCCTCACCACTCCTCGTCAGGGGGAACGATAGAGATGCATCGTCTCCGCTTCTTCCCAGTCTTGCCGGCCGCATACCCGTCGACGACATTCATGTTCACGCTGATATTCTCCTTCCCCTCGTGCTGCTGCGGGGGACAAACTGCATCGTTTCTCGCCTTGCCGGATTTACCGTGTAGCATGGACTTGGATTTGGGCCTGGTGCCAATCGGCAGCCCGATATCCTGGTGCTTCATGAACTGCTGCAGCGCGGTCTTAAGCCCCATCCACGTCCAACCATGTTCGTCGAGCTGTATCCCGAGCGAGTGCCGCGCGCCAGGAAACCGGAGACCTGTCAGGAAGGCTTCGACGAGGACTCCCTCGCGCTTGGAGGGGGGTAGCTGGGTGCGGACACTCTCTGCGAAGGAGAAATAGTCTGAGAGAGTCCGCTGGTTCTGGCTTAGGAGGTGGCGCATGTCGGGTTCGGACGGGCGTTCTCCTTCGTTGGGCTGGTGGATGGATGGGTTGGAGGGCATCGAGTCAGGGACCATGGCAACGTCTGAATCGTTGATGGTCGAATCTTTTTTTTTGGACCTTGTGAGTAGGAATGGACGAATATGTCTAGCTATTATCAACTTACCGGTCAGACGGTTCGACTTCTTCGCTTTCTTCGGCCCAGGCTGGAATTCCAGCTCAACCTCCTGCAGCCTTGCCACCAAGTCCTCCAGGTGCATGCTCACGCTGCCCTCCAGACTCTCCAGCTCTAGTTTGAGAGTGGCGTTCTCCGATTCTAGCTTCTGGATACAGGTCCGTAGCTCCTTGACCGTCTTCTTCAGCTCGTTCGCGGTCGAAGTGTTCAAGTCGAGCGCAGCGCTGGTGCTCTCGAGCTGCTCGGCAAGATAGACATTCTCACGACGCAGCTGGTATGCCCAAAGGAGCGGGGTGCCGTCGGTGTCAGCCATGGGGATTGGATTGATGTTAGATGAGTGGTATGTTAATGAATAAAGAGATAATATTCAGAGAGATGAGAGAGGTATAAGATCAAAAGAGCAGGAAGGCACAAGATCCAAAGATTTAAAGAGTAGAGGAGAGAAAGGAAAAGGCTGGGGGTTATGTGGTAGATGTGTGGGTGCCTAGAACAGGTCAGGATGGCATTCACTGCCCATTTCATCGAGACATGGTTAGGGTTTAACTATTGTATTGCGTGGAGCTTAACAATAGTACAAATCAAGTGAGACCACACCAACATGTACTCGCTTCCCTATTGTTTGGACGATAGACTGTGACTCGAGATGCCTCGTCGAAAGGAGCCAGTCACTGTGGAGGGCATCGGTCGGGTTGAGATTGTGTTTGACGTGGTCCAAAAGGGAAACCCCCCCGGGTCCGCCTCACTTGGTTCGGAACAGGCACTCGAGAATCCACCACGAACACGTATTGGCGCGACTAGTTTACAAGATTTGGGGACTCGGTATGGAAAAGCATATGGAATGGCATTTACCTCTATCTATCAAAGTGAAAACAGGTACAAAAACCACTCCTGAGATTCATCATTCATTCATTCGTGCGCCCAACCTGCCTCGTCCGTTCATGGGGAGAAAAGACAATGAAAAGCACCCGAATGAATAAAAAAAGCACAAGGCGTTTTTACCCGATCTATTGATTAAGCATGAGGGCACCCTTAACCAACCAGAGCGAGCCGGATAAACGGCGAGAGGGAAAAAAAAGGTGACGGCAGGGTAGGAAAAGAGGAAAAAAAAAAAGATGATGCAGCAGATCGTGAATTACAGCAATTAAGCGCACAAAACATGGAAGCATCTCCGAAGGCAGAAAACATAAGAAACCATGACAGCAGAAAGAGGAGGGAGGTACGCTAACAATAGCACCGCATCCTCAACCAACCACCGTAAGCGGGAGTAAATGCTGGAGATACAGGAAGCCACTTTTATTGAAGAGGGGAAAAGTTTTGCTCTGTACAAGGAGAATGTGCGATTTGGTTTGGTGAATCGCCGCTTCACCCCGGTACCATTATTGGCGTACTGCGATCGCGATCCGCATCGACATAAACGGAAGGTGACTCGTAAAAGCGTTTAGATGAGGTCTGAAGCGAGTTAGCATGACAGGTATATTAAAAAACCAGGTATAATACGGCAGCGACTTACCAGCAACGTTCATGGGCATCTCCTCGATCTGGGTGCTGTAGAACTGCTCGATCTCACGCATCATACGGACATCGTCAGCGGTGACGAAGTTGATGGCAACACCCTTACGACCGAAACGACCACCACGACCGATACGGTGGATGTAGTTCTCACGGTTGGAGGGAAGGTCGTAGTTGATGACCAGGGAGACCTGCTGGACGTCGATACCACGGGCCAGGAGATCGGTGGCGATCAGGACACGGGAAGAACCGGAGCGGAACTCCTTCATGATAACATCACGCTGGCCCTGCTCCATATCACCGTGCATGGCGGAGACGGTGAAGTCACGGGCAGTCAGCTTGTCGGTGAGCCAGTCGACCTTCCGGCGGGTGTTGCAGAAGATGACGGCCTGGGTGATGGTGACGGTCTCGTAGAGATCGGAGAGGGTGTCGAGCTTCCAGTCTTCCTTCTCGACGGCAATGTAGAACTGCTTGATACCCTCAAGGGTGAGTTCCTGCTTCTTGACCAGGATGCGGACGGGGTCGCGCATGAACTTGGTGGTCACCTCCAGGACGTCCTGGGGCATGGTAGCCGACAGCAGGACAACCTGGGTGGACTGGGGGAGGAGCTGGAAGATGTCGTAGATCTGCTCGGTGAAACCACGCTAGAAGGGAGGTCAGCATGTTTTTTTTTTTCAAGGGACTTCCATCGACTCAAGGGAAAAACCACTTACAGACAGCATCTCGTCAGCCTCATCGAGGATGAACTGCTTGAGGTGGTCGGTCTTGAGGACACGGCGCTGGATCATGTCGTGGACACGACCAGGGGTACCGACGACGACCTGGGGGCCGTCCTGGAGAGCCTTCATGTCCTCACGGACGTTGGTACCACCGATGCAGGCATGGCACTCAATGCTCATGAAGTCACCGATGGCAACAACGACCTTCTGGATCTGCTGCGCCAACTCACGGGTGGGAGCGAGGATCAGGGCCTGGCAGGCCTTGAGGGTGGGGTCGAGCTTCTGAAGGGCGGAGATAGAGAAGGTAGCGGTCTTTCCAGTACCGGACTGGGCCTGAGCAATCACATCGCTGCCTGTATGTAGGGTACGAAAAAAAAAAAAAATCAGAATTTGCCTCTTGATATTCTCACCACATCAAATCTATCAAGTATGACTTACCCTTGATGATGGGCATAATAGCACGCTGCTGAATGGCAGAGGGGCGCTCGAAACCGTAAGCGTAGATACCTGAAGATAACCGTTAGAACTTTTTTTGCCCTCCCCGACCCCACCTGATGGATGGATCTTTTTTCGGGTTGTAGGTGAGAGAACATACCGCGAAGCAGCTCGGGCTTGAGGTTCATCGCATCGAAGGAGTCGGTGACCTCATCGTAGTTGGTCTCGATCTGACCTGTAGCAAGCAAGAAGAACGTATTGTCAGTCCTCTCTTCTCTCTGAGGTCATGTCGACCGTAAGGGTCGCCACACCGAACGGCAGCACGCCGCCCGACAAGCGACCGCACACAGTCTCTTTTCCGGATACCAAATGCTCGACCTACCTTCGGGGATCTCCTCCAAACCCTTGTCGTTAGAAGCCATGATTGCGGTTGTGGTATGAGGGCGATCACTAGCGACACGGTCAAGTCAGTACACGGCGGTGGGGTTGACAGAAGTGAAGGGGATTTAGCGAACCCAGTGGGGTGGTCGCAGTCTTAGAGACTTTGAAACGGTTTTTTTATTCGCGTAAAGGGGGGGAACAACTAGAACCTGACTCTCGAACGTGAGAGTACTGAAAGGACTAGTTGGGTGTGAAAATCTGGTAGTGATATGGGTAATTCCAGGAAGTGGTAAGAGAGAGAGAAGAGAAAAGGCGGGAATGGATGGGGGGGGTTTTTTTTTTCTTGAAGCCATGAAATTTTCGGCGGTTAGCGCCATTCTGCCGAACCGCCGGACAGTGGCCACCGCCTTTGGGTTCTGCTGCTCGAGTTTGAAGAATAAAATAATAGTTATGGGGGACGGCCTTTTGTTCTGGGTATTACACGTCCAAACGAGGGATATTAATTAATTTATCGCTTGAAGCTTCTTCTATCTAGTCTGTAGAACAAAACTTTTGATATTATTATTCCTTCTTTCCCCCATAACTTTCTTTTGTGTGTATGTTTGTCGGGTAGTATTATTATCTGGATTGTGCTGGCTGGCCCCATAGCGAGTTGTCCCCCCGCCCAGCCAATCAGTCAGTCTGGGCCGTCTTTTCCCTTTGGTTTTTCTTTGCTGCTGCAGTGAGGCTGTAGTAAGGCCGATATAAAAAAAACCCGGTGTTTTCCTTTTCTCCGTGGCTTGTCCATCCAATGGAAATTGGGGAGTTTCTGAAATCATGCTAGACCCAACTGCACAGGACATCTCTCAGGATGCGATTCCGTGCCATCCTCTAGGCGTCAAACCGAGTGGAAATGCCCTTTTGGCTGCGTGGAATCTCCGGTCGGCCATCGGGGCCTTCAATATCCTGCCAGATGAGCTGATCATCACGGTGCTGGAGCTGCTAGATGGCGCGGCGCTCTTGAACATCGGACGCACCTGTAAGGCCTTCTACGCCTTCACCAGAGCGGAGGAATTGTGGAAGGCGCTTTTTATACGGTAAGGGAGTCTCACGACGTCACACGTGCTTCTCGAGCCATGTGTCGGTGCTACCTGCCTCAAGAAGGTTCATGCTAAGAGGTGTCAGATCTATCCCGTCCGGTTTCTCGTGGAGAGGCACATGGCGTTCCACGTTCCTGAACCTGCCAGAGTCCCAGGTGTCGATCTTGGACTGCTCACATCTGTTTTCCGACACACTCCACCGTCCGTTTTACTGCGCACATATCTCGCTGGACCCGTATGTCACGAAGATCCCCGTCAGGAACGCCATTCCTCGTCTGCCAGATCTCTCTCCGGAGGAGTTCCAGGAGAGCTGGACCGATAAACCTTTCATCCTCACGGAACCCGTCAGGGCATGGCCTGTCTACCAGACCTGGTCTGTAGAGGCCCTTCTGGAGAAGTATGGCGACACCGTGTTTCGTGCGGAAGCAGTGGACTGGCCCCTCCGGACCTACGGGGACTACATGCACAACAACTCGGACGAAAGCCCGTTATATCTCTTTGATCGCGCATTCGTGTCCAAGATGGGTCTCAAGGTTGGGAAACCGGACGAAGAACCGGACGCAGCCTACTGGCCGCCGTCCTGTTTTGGAGAAGACCTGTTTTCTGTCCTGGGGAATGACCGCCCGGACAGACAGTGGCTGATCATCGGCCCTGAGCGGTCAGGGAGCACCTTTCATAAGGACCCTAATGCGACCAGTGCGTGGAATGCGGTTCTCCGTGGTTCCAAATACTGGATAATGTTCCCCTCGTCGTCCAAGCTACCGCCTCCGCCCGGAGTCTATGTATCGGAGGATCAGAGCGAGGTGACCTCGCCGCTGAGCATTGCAGAGTGGCTGCTGGGCTTCCACGCCGAGGCGCGCCGCACACCTGGCTGTGTGGAGGGCATCTGCGCGGCGGGAGAGGTCCTCCATGTTCCTTCGGGATGGTGGCATCTGGTCGTCAACATCGAACCTTCGATTGCCATTACGCAAAACTTTATTCCCCGCGCGCACCTAACTGCTGCGCTGGACTTCTTGAGCAGGAAGGCCGACCAGATTTCAGGGTTCCGCAAGGATGTCCATGATCCATATGAGCGATTTGTGAAACAGTTACAAGTATCCCACCCGGACCTCTTGGAGCAGGCCTACGAACAGTTGAAGCAGAAGTCGGAAGGCAAGAAACGGAAATGGGATGAACTGGTTCATGGAAAGACGGCAGAAGATGGCAATAATGCAGACGCCCCTGAGGGTGGCTTCAGCTTTGGCTTTGGAGATGATGGAAGTGACGTGGAGGTGCCATAACCGGTTGAATTGATTCCCAAAGAAGAAGAAGAATTGAATGATTGAATGATTGAGCGGCTATGCTTAACAGGGAGAAATTGTCTAACACAGTGTGCTCCCGCCATTTCAGAGTTCAATGACAAGCCACTGTCTTGGTCGCCGTCATGCCCTCGCCGAAAGCCAAGTACCCGACAAACGCACCAACCGCAACAGCAAGCATGACAAGGCCATTATACGTCATGAAAAGCAGCCTTAGGTAGCATTGGATTAGCACCGACAAGACGCATTGTACCAGGGAAAGCTATGGTATCCCGACTCACATGATGAAGAAACTATAGAAGACCTGGACGGCATACAGCGCCGCCATCACAATCTTCCCCTTCTGCTCCACCGCCTTTTGATTGTCTCGGCCTACAAGCAGCGGTGAGCTTGCATCGAGGATGGTCTGGTTGGGACCCGCGGTAAAACTTGCTGTGGCAGGCAGTTGATCGCCGGTCTCCGCGTCTTTTTCTCGTCAATGACAGTTCAGTTCATCTCGGAGTTGCAGAAGCAGCACCCAGTCTACCGACCATCCATACCACAACAAAGAATACAACAAGTGTAATTATTGATGAAATAGATAGCAAGGAAGACTAACCTGTCGTAGCGGATCCAGCCGAAAACGCCCTCAGGCGCTGCGTATGAGTGGCCTCGTACTGCCTCGTCACATTGCGCACACCCTCGTAGCCCGCGGTCAACAGCACGATGGCCACCAACGACACAAGCAGGGAGAGAGGACCGGTAATATGCCACTGAGAGAAGACGATACAGAGGTCCTTGGTCGACCAGGTGAAAAGCATCTACACATTCAGCCTTTAAAGCCTAGACCAAAGTATTGTCTTGGAACAAGACTCACGTTCATATTGCACTTGCCCATATCCATATCGCCGTGGTCGCCCATGTCCATATCCATATGATGCATTGAGTGGTCCATTTTCTTTATTTTTGAAAAAAGAATTTATATCAGGTATATCAGAATGTCGGAGTCTACTTTCCTCCTGCTATCAGGGATGAAGAGCAAGTCAGTTGCCTTGTCATTTGCAAGATTGATAAACAGGCCACACCCACCACCCGATCGTACTAGATGCGCTTTGGGACTAGCGGTGTATTGGACCCATTACTAATCAAGACAAACCAAGCAAACTCCATCAATCTATCCTAGTACAAAGTAACTACCTACTCCATAGCACTATCCACGAGGTACTCTTTGACTCTTTATCCCGATAGAATCTAAAACTCCGCATAAGTGGGAAAAGAAAAGATCCCGAATTATGGCGGAAACCGCCCCCCCAACGACATCCGCTCCGACAGGACCAACGAGCACTACCACTGCACCGACACCAGGTGCGACGGAGCAGAATGGCACGAACCGCGGCCTACCCTATTACGAGAAACTGCGCCGCGAGCTGCGCGACACTCTACAGAAGAAACGACTCATGGATAAAAGCATGGTATGAGCACTCCAATTTTTTTCAATAAGACAAAAGCTAAGCTAATCCGACCAGGCCCAACTGGAAGACCAGATCTTCCGCTTCGAACAATCCTACCTCGAGGAAACGACAGCCGGAAACATCATCAAGGGGTTCGACAACTACATCAAGGGCTCGTCCGCGGCCTCGAACCTCGGCGCCACGACGTTAGGTCTCTCCAGCGCAGGCGCGGGAACTCTGTCGCGCCGGAAAGCCCAAGTCTCAGATATCGACCGCGTGTTTTCGAGAAGTTCTGCCAGTTTCATGCGGGTATGTCGTTTCTTTTCTTTCTTTTTTTTTCTTTTCTTTTTTTCATTGAGTTCTCAGTCTTGCGTGAATGCTAAATTTTTCAGGACTCCCCCGCCCCCTCGTCGGCAGTGACGACGCCCTCGCACGCCCCAACCCCATCGTCAACGTATAATGGCCCCATGAGCGTGTCGAACCGGTCGAATAACGATGGCGTCTCCTCTGCAGCAGGGAGCGTCAAGGGTGGGGCGTCGAAGAATAAGAAAAAGGCCAGTGTGGGCGGTGGGGGGAATAATAGGGAGAAGAACCATGACGATGACGGCGAGGACGGGGAGAAACCGCCTGTCAAGCGTTTGAAGATCAGTTACGGCCGTGATTAGGTTGCCCTGCTGATGCCTATCCGATCGAATACTCTTTGTTTCAATTCATCTAGCGAGGTCTGGTGGTCTGGGAGGTTGGCGAATTGGCGTTATTTACTTAGATGTTCATGATATCCTGTACAGTGGCTATAGAGGTGAGGCAACAGCTTTTTCTTTTTTTTTTTTTTAAAGAAAGCAAAGATCAATCTCTCATCCTAATCCCAATTTATTTATTTACAACTGCAATCGGAAAGTAGCAATCTCAAAAGCCCTCAGCTCGATGTTCACGCCAGAGTTGCCCCCCGCAGTGAACAGCCGCAGTTCCTCCTCATCATCCTCTAACACATTGCATTTCCATACCTTCTTAACAGGCAGCTTGCTGTGGATAGTTCCGCGGGCCCTGCCGCCAAGCGACTCGTAGACCCGCAGGATGATGCTCTGGCCAGGCCGTTTCGGCAGTTCCCCGCGGGAAACGTCCTCGTCATCCTCACCACGCTTGACGGCGTCCAGAATGAGCGCCGGGGATCCAGTCAGCGCAATGGACTTGAAAGCATGCATAACCTCCGTTCCAGACGAGGGTTGCAGGACAAGCGGGTGGTTGAAGTTGTATCCCGCGCGAACAGTCCGAGAGTCCAGCGCTCCAATATGCGGGAGGATTGCGTAGCGGATACGGTGACGGCCCATGTCGGCATGTGCGTCGGGGGCCTTGGGGGCGCGAAGAAGAGATAGTCGCATCAGGTTGCCGCAGGTTGCAAATCCGTACTTGGAATCATTGAGGATGGAGACACCATATCCATTCTCGGAGAGATCAGCCCATTTGTGGCAGCAGACCTCGAACTTGGCCATGTCCCAGCTATTTATCAGATGTTAGCTTAAACCGAATTCATTCAAAGAAGAAGGGAAAATGAATATATGGACGTACGTGGTGTTATAATGAGTCGGGCGTCGAATGATTCCATACTGCGTCTCATAAGAAGCCTCAGTATTGGTGATGTCAACAGGGAATTCGACCTTCAGGAACTTCATGTTTTCCCTCCACTCAACCTCGGTGTCGAATTCAACATATGTCGCTTCACCTCGGACAGCGCTGGCAAGGCTGATGGTCGTCTTGACCCAGCTGACGTCGCTGATCTTCGTTTCAGTGACCACGCTTACTCGGTGGGGGTCATTCTCAGCGATGACGGTCTTGCTAGACTTGAGTTCCTTGCGAGATTCGAGGTGATATACCTCTACATCCCACGCTTGCCAGTAAAGCGGCTTGTCATCGAAGACCACAAACTGGCCGGCCTTGCCGCCTTCTGCAATCACCTCGCGGTCTGCTTCAACATCGTAGAGCGAGGTAATGACTCCGTCTTGAACTTCGACACGCAGCCTCTCGTTCGCCAGGCGGAAGACTCCGGGTCTGATCTCAGATACAGTCACGCCAGGCAATTCGCTACCGCTCATGGGCTGCCCGGTGATAACGCCAGTCTCTCCACTAGCCAGCACATATTTGGAACCATGGGTAGCCGTTGATGCACCAGGCATCGGGACTATCTCTGACCGTGGCCAGGGCATCGTGTTCAGAGCTACAAAGCCCTTACCAGTGTTCTTGGTTGCAAAACCGAGCGCCTGCAGCGCCTCCTTTCGAATATGTTGACCAGTCTCCATGATCTCAGCATAGAGCTCGCCGCTGTCATCGTAGCACATCTCGATACAGCTGCCAGGCAAGCAGTCATGGAATTGGCAAAGCAGAACACCTTCCCACATGTCATCAATCCTCTCCTTGGGGTACTTGTAGCCTCCTTTAAGAGAAGCTAGAGTGGCTAGATATTCAATCTCTCGCAAGAGAAACTCGGATTGGCGGTTGCTCCGCTTGTTGTTCGCCTGGGTAGTGTATGTGCCGCGATGAAGCTCAAAGTAGAGCTCGCCGTACCAAGTCGCGAATTCCGTCCCGGTGGCCGCCTTCTTCTCGAGGTTGTCGAAGAAGTCGTCGACTGAGCCTCCCATAGTGACCTTGGGGAGCAAGCCAGTCTTGTCGCTCAACCCGCGGCAGCGACGCAGCTTCTCAAGGTGTTCAAACGTAGGGCCACCACCGCCGTCTCCCTTGCCGAAGACAAGAAGTGAGGTGTTATCCTGATCCATTGACTTATGTTGGGTCACACTGCGCTTGACATCACCAAAGTGGGCGCTCGCGGTATAGGTCTCTGACGGAGGCATGTGGCACATCACTTGACTTCCATCAAGCGCGACCCATTTGAACGTGGTGTGGGGGAAGTTGTTGATATTGTTCCAGCTGAGCTTCTGGGTAAAGAAGCGACTCATTCCAGCCAGGCGACAAATCTGAGGAATCTGCGTCGAGTATCCGAAGGTATCGGGCAGCCAGAAAGTGGTGTGACGCTGTCCAAACCGACTCTCAAAGAACCGCTGACCATAGAGAAACTGACGGACAAGCGACTCTCCGCTCGGCAGGTTGGTATCGTGCTCAACCCAGCTGCCACCGATAGGATGAAAGTGGCCCTTCTTCACCCACCGCTTGACACGGTCAAACACAGAAGGGTAATACTTTTCCAGCCATTTGAACTGCTGAGCCTGGGAGCAGGCAAAACGGTGCTCTGGGTATCGATCCATCAGGTCGCATTGATTAGACCAGGAGCGAGCGACTTTGCGCTTGGTCTCCGCCCATGGCCACAGCCAACATGTATCAATATGGCACTGGCCAATACCCAGAACAATGGCATTGTCGGTGCCGGCCTTGTACACATCCGCCGAGTCGACCTTGTCTCCGAGGTAGCCCTGGCCAATCTTACGCGCCTGCTTGATGGACTCTTGGCTTCCGTTGCCTGCAATAAAGGCATCCATCATGGCATTGGCGACAACATTCGCCTGATGGGACTCCCATGAGTCTCCAGGGAATTCCCGAGCAGCATCTATGGATGGCTGAGTTTAAAGAAGTGTGTGAAATGGTCGTATAATACGATAATAGACTTACCTCCGATGATCCAAAAATCATAGTACAACGCTCGAGCCTCGAGGTTGACCGCCGTAATTTGCGCTTTGTGCAGAGTGTAGTACTTATTGGGTCTGGGTGGCTGAATCTGATCGTCACCAGGAGGGTTGCCAAACATGCCATTGCAGGCCATTTCGATGAAGAAAACGTGCTCTTTCCCATCACGCCAGGCATCGGGGATAACCCATTCAATGCGCTCGCCGCCACCAGACAGACCCTGCAGCGGGTGACCATCTTCGTTCCAGACCATACCTTCATTGTTAGCATCCCAGTGGAATTCCAGGCGCTCCTTGTCCAGCATGTCCTCTGGGATCGTCAGACGAATACGGAACCAGTGAGTCGACCAGCTGGGGCCGAAGGAGGCCCCGATGTGAGTAGGCTTAAATTCGTGCGACGTCGCCTCCTCAAAGGTCGGACGAGAGAGGTCTGGCGGAGAATAGACGGAGAGCTTAACATGGTCTTCATCCGAATTGACAGCTTCAAAGTACTTCCTACGCCGGCCGTTAGCTCTATAGAGTATACTATTTTTCGAGGCAATTTTGGAAACCAAACGTACGAGACGAGGTTTTGACCTGAGTATTGGCCCTCACTCGTAAACTGCCGCAGTCGATCAGTGTAGATGCCCTTGATGCGTTGGCCGACTGGGTGGTCGGATCTCCGGGGTAGAGAGCCTGGAGCTCCCAATGACGCGTCTCCACCCATAGTGCCGGATCCAGAGGGTCGAGGGGAGCTGTGGGGAGAAGACGGGGAATATAGAGTCGTCGGCAGACTATTATTCCAGCTTAAAATGTTTTTAGATCGCATGGATAAACGACGATGGAAGGCAGTTGAAACCAAGCATGGGACGATTGGAGAAGTGAAGAGGGGAAGGTTGAATCCAGGTACCGGCCGCCCTGATGAATGCCTGCCGCGTGCGGAGAAGGAAGGGTGAGCAGACACAGGGCGGGGTCGGTTGCAACCGTGACAGGCTCTTGTACCATCGTTGCTTGATCCTTCAGAGGTCACAGTTGGATAGACCAAACAAAGATGTGTGATCGCAGGATTCGGCTGTTTATTTGTGGAATCTCGAGGTCCTTTCGTTTCCCTCAGATAGCGAGGTGTCGGCTGGATTCGAGGCAAGACGGATGCAGGGATGAACCATCGGATTCCCACGGATGTCAGCGAGATGATTTTATCACTGAGCTTCTGGATAAATCGAGGATGATGATCTGTCAATCTTGACTCTAGACCGTCAGTTCGTGGTCTTTCTCGATTGAAAGGGAATATTTACCTAGACCCGGTCCAAAGCAGATCAGAAAGAGAGATAGGACCTTTCAATGGCTATCGACAGAAGCAATCGTCTTGAATGGTAAAGATGAAACGAAAGGGAAAAAAAAGTTGCTCTCGCAGGTGCCTGCAGAAGACAAAAAGAGACACCGAGTTCAATTATTCACGTGCTAGTCAGGTGAGTCGAGGGAGATGAATATCTTTACTTTTACCCTCTTCAACTACTCTACCTCTTCTATAATCGAGGAAATTCCAAAGCTCAGTTGGGCTCTATCCTTCACAGATGAAACTTGATATAGCTGTTATAATTGTCCAAAAAACTGTCTTCCTCAGCATCCTTCCAGAGCGCTTGGATACGGTCCTGCTCCCGTTGGGCCAGCGGTCCCTTCTTGATGGCAGCCAGGGTCTCCTCGAGCTGATGGAGATTCCGGGCTCCAAAAATGATGGCGTCGCCGTACTCCTCCCTGAGACAGGAGTTGAAGACGACCCACCGGTACGCCAGCTCTGCCTTGGGTATGCCTGCCTCGTCCGCGATCTGACTCCATTCCCGCAGGAACCTGAGCATCCCTTCGGTTGTGAACAGGGCGTGATACATACTGCCCAACCTCGTGCCAGACTGCCACCGGCCTCCGGTCTGCCCGCCAAGGATCTCCTCGGGAGACTTGGTCAAGAACCCGCCGGCATTAGGTGAATAGGCGATGAAGGGGATGTGGTGCTTGCGCAGCACGGGCATGACCTCCGTCTCCACGCGTCGGCACACGGCAGAGTAGTTTCCCTGGAAGACGGAGGGGAGTACGTATCCTTTCTCTGAGGCAATGCGGATGACTGCTTCCACTCCTTCGCCCGTGAAGTTGGAGAGCCCGAAGCGGGCGAAGGCGCCGCGGCGGTAAAGCTCATCGATGCCTGCGAGAAGGTCCTCGAGCGAAGCTCGCTCGTCAGGCGAATGCAGATAATACACGTCCACCTGGGGATATCAGCACAACATCAAGCCTTCTGGTTCAGACCCAAAAGACTTTTTAAGGCAACTCACTTTGCTAGCGTTGAGCTTGCGCAGACTCTCCTCCGCCGCAGCGATGAGGCCCTCCCTGGACGAAGGAGTCGGTGACATCACACCAGAGTACTTGGTATCGATAGAGAAGCCCCGGGCGACAACGCCTGCCTTTCCCAAAAGCTCCTCACTGGCCCCGTACCCCTGTGCCGTGTCGATGCGTGAGACCCCCTCGCGGCGCAGTAGGTCAAGGATCTGGACGACGTCTTCAGGGGAATCGCGGCCAGTATAGCCGATTGAGCCGGCTCCGAAGATGACATCCATCATTGGTGAAGCAGTGCAGCTCAAGCTATACTGAACGGAATAGGTTGTAGCGCTGGCTATAGGTGCACAGTCAGAATACTTATAATTATCTATACTTATTATACTTCTCGAGGGAGAAGGAATTAATAATACATTTAGTCATCATATCCATGGCTTATTGATACAGACTAGAGTATTATAGAAGCCTATCAAGAGTGCTGACCAGGTGTATGGCATCAGTGCTGACGAGTGAATGCAGAGTTGATATATTACAAAGTTACCCCTCTATCCTCTATATTAACTGTTCAATACTTTATAGTCAGTGATAGTTATCATACAAAATCTCTAGACTTTTAAAGATGCTAGCTGCCTGGGTTGTCTAGGTCTCCCTAAATCTCCCTCAATATATTTAATGTTGATTATATGATAGAAGTATCATATATTTGAGGCGTACGACCAATGCCTGAGAGAAGTTAGAACATGGGATGAGACATTTATAACTACTTGCTAGTCTAAGCATGTCCTCATGAATCAGTTGGACAATCTCTATTGAAGGGCAATCCTATTGATGGCATTTATAAAGCCAAAGGCTTGGTTCTGTCACCAGAAGACACAGCTCTAGATTATACACTAGGTAGGTACTATAAAGAACTCAGGAGCCTATTATAAATGAGGCAGAACTTAAAAACTTATTACTAGTAGGCAGGTATATTAAAAATAAGGGAGGATAACTGGATTAATCTATGGCGCAAACCGCAACGCAAACCGCATGTAAACCGCACGCAAACCGCAAATCATACTCAAATTATCAGCACAACTCCACACACGAAGATCAACACGCATGTACTCCATATCAACCAAATCTAGAACCACGTTATATCCATGGATCCGCTTGACAGGTATATGGATTGACAGGCCCAACAAGCTTAATCTGGGCTTTGAGCTGAGCACGCCGTCGGTCCGCTTTCGATTCGGAGAAGCGGCGGCGCGCCCCATCCAGCACGCCGAGAACGTTTCCCGGTTCATCGCGGTCTAGATCAGGGGAATGTCTTGGTGATCGTCTGGGCGAGTGTGAGCGTGAGTGTTCCGGCGAGGACGGGTCTATTATGGATCGGGTATATTTCTGTAGACGGACGTTGTAGTAGCCCTGGTGCGAACTGATGCGCTTCGAGGATGTCGTGGGTTGTTTATCCCAGATGGCGGCGCCGTATTTCTGGTACGGCGACATCGGGACGGCAAGCTGTCTTTTGCGAGATGATTCATGCTGATGCTGGTAGTAGTTTTGCTCTGTCGTCGAGTCGGTCGAGAATGAAACCGACCGTATCTGGTCGCTGTCTTGGGTGGTGGTATCGGCGGAGCTGGTGAAATATCCGTCTGAGGGAGCCGTGATAGGCCGTCGTTGTCGCTGCTGCTGCTGCTGCTGCTGCTGCTGTTGCTGTTGCTGTTGCTGTTGCTGTTGCTGTTGCTGTTGCTGTTGCTGTTGCTGTTGTTGTTGCTCCTTGTGTTTGTCGGTTGAAGTTTTCGACAGCGTGCGATGCACGTACGAGCGGATCGAGTCACGGACAAGACCTAGTCCAGAGCGTTCGGATGAGGCGTGCCATCGAGCCCGCGACGACTTGCCTCCATCATGACCGGTTCTTTTACGCGTCTTTGAGGATGAGGCCTGCGAGCTCAGCTGCGAAGAAGACGGAGTCGCCAGTTCCGGGAAGAAATCCCACTTCTTCTCGCGGAAATAAGGACTCGTTCCGATGCGGTTCTGGGCCGTCCAGCCAGGCGGTTGCCGGCCGTACCGTTCTTCGGTCAGGAAGGTCTTGAACGCCAGCGAGTCTTTGTTTGGTGATTCATGTTTCGTAAGATGGCCATGGCTGTGATGCTGGTTGTTTTGGTCTCCGGTTGTTTTCTGCTGTGGACTATACTCCTGACTGACCATCTCGACATAGTCTTCCGTATCAGACTGCACCAAAATCGGATAACTCTGTGAGGACCCGCGATGCCTCTGGTAGTCTCCGTTTTGATCCTCCTCCTCCTCCTCCTCCTCGTCGTCGTCTTCTTCCTGGCTGAGATCGGTATCAACCGTGCTGTCGTCGCTCCAAAACACCGATGACCGGAACGGCTGGTCCGGCGGCGTGGCTGGCAGCGGTTTATTGAGACAGAGATCTGACCCCAACGGCATGTACGAGACACCAGGCGGCACGACTCTCTCCATGCCTTCTAGCGACCGATACTGTCTCATCGGCGGGGGTGGGCGATCATGGCAGAGCATGGTGAGACTCTACACCCTGGAGATAGATCGAAAGCAAAGACACGAGGAGACTGATGAGACAAGTGATGTGCTAGACCTTTATTATTATATAGAAGGACAAGTAAAGAAAAGAGGAATCAACAAAGAGCACGCTGTGGTCAGTCACAGAGCCACACACCACCACATTCACAAACCGCAGCAACAACAAAGAAACTCCGGGCAAACATCGCCTAATAATGTCTCTTCCCCCCCTCAGTCTCCTCGAATCACCGGATCCGAGGCCGGTCCCTCGCAGAAAAAAGAAGAGGGAAATAAATGAAAAAGGGCGAAAATAAACGAAGGATAGATTGGGGAGGGAACCTGATTATTTCTCGCACGGCGAATCCGAGCGTGACACAAGTAAGGGATGCGTTGCCAACTCTACCAGTCGTTACTCAGTGCCCACTATGCTGTCTACCTGTCAGAAAAGAGAACGAGAGGGAAAAAAAAAAAGAAAAAAAGAGAGAAAAAAAAGGAAACAGGCAAACAAGGGAAAAAAAAAGGGAATCACAACTGGGCCAAGCCCCCGTTCCTCTTGAGCCTGGCGATCAGCTCCTCATCGCCCAAGGGGGTGTTATGCTCGAACTGCGGCTCCAGGGCATAAGCAACGCGAGCCGCATCGACGAGGATGCGCGCCGTCAAGCCAAAGACCGTGTGGCTGTCCTGCGAGTTGATCGGCACGGAGAACCGATGCACTAGGACGAAGGCACTATATTAGTGATCCAGTCCAGGTGAATAATTATTAACTCGTTAGTTAAGACTGTTGCACAAGAAAAAAGTGGTTACATACTTCTCCAGTCTGTCTCATGCCACCGCGTCCACCACCCCTGATACCACTGTCGATCCTCACCACCAGGACACTCGAGGAGGAGAAAATTGCGAAACGGCGCGGTGAAGACCGCCGCCACCTCCCTCCGATCCAGCCGGAGGAAGTCAGAGGCAGAGGCAGAGGCAGAGGCCGCGTCTTCTTCGCCTGACGAAGAAGATGAAGAATGTAGCCACGCCACGCAAGGGCGCACCACCACCTCCGCCCGCGCCAGGCTGGCTGGTAACTCGCACAGATGCTCGATCGTAAAGGGAGGCGGCAGGCTGGTCCGCGGCACTCCGATTTCCTCCTCTGCTTCGCGCCGGGCCGTTTGGAATGCGCTTTCGTTGGGTTCGGCGTGGCCTGAGCGATTAACACATGTCTAGCAGCAGCTGTAGGCTGTAGCGGCAGCTGTAGAGCGGCAGGCTTACCCCCCGGAAGAGCGGCTTGCCCGGCATCTACAAAGTCAGTACTGCGGAGTATATAGTATTTTCTTAATTGTACACTATTAAGCACTTACACGTCCTTAGCTCCTTTGATCGGATGGTCAGGACTACGCGTAAGTCGCCCTGGCGATCGCCATACAGGAGTATCAGCACCGCTGCCTGGCGGGAGAGGGGGATGGACGTGTATGTCGAGGGTGGGGGGGTGTAGTTTCGTAGACGCTCGATGGCGGACTAACACATATTAGTTTTAATTAATAGAATGAAAGATATCTTACTGCTGATTCGGCGGAGAGCATGTCGTATGTAGAATAGATGGTAGATGGTTGTTAGATTTACCTACTAACTCGGTAGGTATTGGAGAGTTACAAGGTACGATGTGGAGAGACTTCTAACCGAGGTATTCTAACAATTAATCTATTTATACATGAGGGGAGATCTATAGAACAAATCATTCCTTCTTTTCTGGTTTCGCCTCTGTCTCTGCGTTGGCGACCTGCTGGCCTTCTCGCTCCGCTTCCGCAGCTTCAGAGGCAGAAGAGGCCTCGGCTTCCAGCTTGGTATCCTCCTTGTCGTCAATATTGTCGATATCCTTGGGCGTGGCAACCCCTTCGTCGCCGTTCTGCTCGTTCTCCTCCTCGATCAGCTCCTGCTGTTCCTTGATGACCTCCAGTCGCTGGCGGTTGGTCGCCGCCCCCTCGGCGTTGTGCACCTCGAGCTCGATCTCATGGAAGAGCTCCTCGGGAATACTAGACAGGACAGACTGCAGCGCCTCGATCTGCGAGCCCATCTCGGATTCCTTGCCGCCCTGCGCGTAGTGGTACGCGTTGCTCAACACCAGCAGCGTCGAGGGAACCCCCTGCTTCAACCTCAGGTCCAGCCACATGGCCATGTCCTCGCGCAGGCGCGCGGGCGAGACCCCATGCGTGCGGATGCCGCGCGACGCGCACGCCATCTGCAACTCGGGAACGGACAGTGACTCAACCCCTTCGTAGAAGATGGCCCGGTCGTCGCGCTTGATCTGTCGCATCCGGTGCCGGATATTGTACCGCAGCATGGCGTCGGTCCCGAATGAGTTGAGGTTCATGTACTTGCAGATGGCCACCAGCTGCGGCCGTGACAGGTTGTCCAGTGTCAGGTCGTCCTTGAAGATCTTGCACACCTTGATCACGTCCTGGGTCGAGGGCGACTCGCCCGTCGTCCGGATCTTCTTGAAGAACGCCGCAAACTCCTCGTTCTTGACACTCGCCGCCGTGATCGGCAACCCGCTTTCTTTCAGCGTGTTCTGCAAAAACGCCGACACCTCCTTGCGCGTCGACCGCAGGCTCAGCGCCTTCGTCTCCCGCGCCTTCTGGCCCTCGTACGTGCTAGGCAGCAGGTTCGGGAACAGCTTCAGCGCCACAGGCAGCAGCAGTTCCGCGAACGGCACAATCACAAACATCGAGAACGGCACCAGCCGGCCCAGATCTTTGACCGTTCGTTGCAACTAACAACATAAGTAAAAAGAAAAATGTAAAAGGAAGAAATGAGTCGCTGGAAAAGAAAAAAGAGATCATACCTGCCGGTGTTCCCTCCGACTAAGCTCGTATCCCGCCGCCATCTTCAACGCCAACCGCGTACTGATCTTCACCTCGGTGGCCAACAATTTAGTCCCATCCCAGTAATGCTGCACCTCCTTCTTGATCTTCTGCCCCAGCGTCAACTTCTTCTCCTTGCTCTCCTTCTTCTCCTCCGGCACCCGTTTCTGCTCCTCGGGCACGACCACCGACTTGCTCGATTCCGAGACCTGGGCCGGCTTAGCCACGGCGTTGGTGTCCTTGGCCGGCTCGACTTGCGGGGGGAGAGGCTTCTTCGCCTGCTCCGCGTTAAACCCGGGGGGAGGGAACGATCCCCCCGATGGCGCAGAGGACGAAGTCGACGTTTCGGTGGCGTACCCGCGTTGATGCGGGATCAGGATCGCGATCGCGCTCAGGTGCGAGGGGAGACCTGCCCGCGTGGTATAGCGAAGATGTGCGGCAGGACCGAGGCGGGAACCATGCGGTGCTAAACTAGTCAGAAATGAAAATAATTTCTTTTTCCTCCAAGTGTTTGATTTCGTACATATCCGCAGGGCTGGAGACCGCACCAGCCTAGCCGATCTCATCGTGACAGACATTGTGGAATCTGGAAACGGAGGGCTCGGAGCGACCGAGCGGAAAGAGCGGGGGAAGATAGAGGATATAAAGAGTGTAGAATTAGAGTTGAGATTTTTTTTTTATGTAGAATGACCCAAGAATCTGATGATTGAGATAGAGAGGGAGGAAGGCGTAATGCTGTCGTTCCGATGTTTGCGGTTTGCGGTGGCACTGCTTTTTCCCACGTGACTTCGGGGTTACCGCGGATTTAATGCTTCGTTCTTTTACCCGGAGAATTGCCACTGGCGTCTACAGAGGAGAATTATTTACTATCTTGAAAGAGTGTTTTATATCTTCAATCATGGAGTGTCATTCTCGGGGTATTATATAGCAGGTACAAATCATAGACATAAGTGAACGAATGACTCATGTGCTGGTGGATACAGATAGGAAAATCGTCATTCGCGTAGCAGATTATAACGGTCGGGGAATGTACTGTCACCCAGACAGATTGTCATAAGAAAGCGCGGTAGTATCAAGGCAGACGCAATAAAGATATGCAGGGGCTAACCAAAAACTCCGTCAAGGGAAACGCAGTAGAAAACCAATCGAGTGCTGACATAGGATAGGGTATCATGAACGGGGGACGCCCGCGGGGGAAGGAGAGAAAAGCACCGCTACTGTCTCTCACGCAAGACAGAGTCGTTGCTATTTCCATTCTTTCCATCCACACCGGTGGCGGCGATAGTCGAGTCTAGCAGGGGGATATGATCGAGACTGGCCTTGTCGGATTCGAGCTGAGCGTTGTTCAGAGAGTCATCTAGGATACGGGCGCCAGCGGCGGCGGAGTCCGGCATCATAAGCGGGCTAACCAGGCCATCAGGGGAAGATTGCCAACGAGCGACGTCCTTTTTCAGTTCCTCGAGCTCCTTCTGGAACCGCTTGCCGAAAATATCGATGTAGTAGGTGGCACCGTTGTGAATGCTCCAGGAGAACATCAGGAGGACAAACGCGCTGCTGGCCCACCGGGACCAGAACCAGAGCGGACAGGGGATGATGGTCAAGAGGGCGTAGACGTATTGAATCATCATGAATGCGGGCTCCTGCCAGGGATCCGACAGGCTCAGGACGAACTTGCCGATCCAGGTCTTGGAGTATGACTTGCGTAGCCAGGTGAAGCTGGTCAGATGGCCCGCAGCGATCTTATCCCGGCGGCGAACAGTGATGAAGAGATAGTACGACAGTTGCCAGAAAACATAAGGCACGGTGGCCCAGAACATCATGGACCACAGCGAGTAGTGCTCGGGCGAACCGGGTTGGCTGAATTTGATATGGTAGACGGCTGGGAATCGATGCTGCAGGGTTTCCACGGGTGTCAGGTGAACCAAGCAATGCAGCGCCGCGGGGGGCATAATATGGATGAAGACGCTGTCTCGATTAGAACGAAATGAAAGAGAGATATATATATATATATGAAAGACCGAGACATACCTGACAACTTTATCCATGCTGTGAAAAACCAAGGAGTTGCGCCACATGGCGATGGCGACGGCGTTGTTGCCAAAGGCCAGACAATAGGTACTGATGAAGAGGCGCTTGGAGTTTGGGAAGACCCAGATGCTCAGCATGCTCAACAGATTGACGAAATAGCACAGATCGGCGAGGAAGTAATGCCAGCCGCGCTTGTGGTAGTCGTACCAACGGATAGGCATGAAGTAGGCGAGCTGGGCGGTGTACCAGTAGTAGAAGTAATCCGGGCAGGCGCCGATCAGGTAGCCGCTGATGAAGATGTTGAGGACGCCGGCGAGGAAGGAGGCCTTCTCGCGCAGGGTGACGGTGGCGGTCTTGTTCCACTGTTTGCCGAGGCGCTCGACGCCGGTCTTCATGCGGCGACGGTACTTCTCCAGCTGTTCCTCCGAGGTGGGCACGCGGCGCTTCCACTCGCCGACAACGCGTTGCCTCGCGTTCTGCGAGGTCGACTTGAGCTTCTCGCGCTGGCGTTTGACCATCTCCTTCTGGGCCTGCAGCGTCTGCTGCCACTTCTCGAGGCGCTGGTTCAGGGCGACGGTATCGAAGAGGTCGAACACGGTCAACTTGTCGAGCGGCGGGAACGTCTCCCAGTCCTCCTGGTAGGAGCTGCTGTTGGAGAACGACGGATTCCGCGACAGCCTCCCGGGCGTCGAGGCAGGCGAGTAGGAGGCGACCTCGTCGACGCCCTCCACACCGGGGGTCATGGGCTCGGGAGCCGCCATGCCCGTCTCTGAGGCGGCAGCACTCGACCCGATCGACTCGATCGACTCGGCCACGCTCACCTCGGACTTGCTTCTCCGGTGTCCGGCGGAGTCGTCCATGAGCAGTTTCTGCTGGAAGGAGAAAATGGTCGGACCGTAGGGACTATGGTGAGGATACGGGCGGCTGAGAAAGCGGCCAAAAGTTAGCATGCCCATGATAGCGACGACAGCAACAGCAACAGCAACAGCAACAGTAGTAGTTGGTAGTCAAATGATATTCAGAGCAAGGAAACCCTGCTCGAAGCAAGTCACATACTTGTAGTCCTCACGCGTTTAATATGCGAGCGTGGCGAGGTAACCTTGAAGCTCCTCCCTTCCCTCTTGCCCACGGATCCAGGCAGTCACTTCTGGCCAGTCTCGTGGTGTGTTGCACGCGCCTGACAGAGGGAAGCTCATTCACGACCAAAAGACCAAAGCGTGTGGAGGAACCATGGATCAAAGCAGCGGTGGAAGGCGTCTCGTTGCGCCGTTGCTGGGTGTGCGCGCGAGGGAGTCGCTGGTTGGTTGGTTGGTCTTATCAGCTGACTAAGCCACTTACCAGGTTAGTAGTTACCTTAGGTACCTAAGTTTCTAGAGTACCATTTTGGTAATAGTTAAATAGTACCTATTCACTGTATTTACTATAGTACTAGGTATTTACTATAGTACTACCTAGGTAGGTACTTACTTAGTTTTACTATATATTTATTATATCTAACCAGGCATATTATTACTACACATGAATCTCATACAGAGTATCTACTCCGTACTATAACTACTCCGTAACTACTAGCACGACTCGAAAAGTCGGTCTGCTGGATAAAAGAACTACCCGGGATCTAGTGCCTAAGTAGTTAGCTTGTCAACTGACTCGAATTTATTTACTACATATTGTCGGTCTGGATAATAGCAATTGACAGCTAACAATCACCTAGATATAACTACCTAGGTAGGTAATACTAGGTAATATCTACTGCGCCAGAGTGCTATATAGTAGTCTAGGCCAGCATAGTTAAGAAGGACAGAATTCTATAAACTCAGTGAAAGAGATTAGATTAATATTGACTATACTATATACTAGACAGCTATGATTAATATAAGATCAATATGGAATATCGTCTGATCAATGCTACTAGGTCCTATAAGATAATACCTAACTATCTAGTAGGTATACTAGCAAGGTACATAGTAATACTTAAGCACCTTAGATGGTAGTGAGGAAATCTCTGCCATAAACCAGATCATTGAAAGCTAGAGGAGTCATTTTATAATATATATTATTCTACAGAGTTCAATTCCATACCAATTCTCACCTAGTGAATTAAATGAATTACCTAGTATTTCAAGTCTAGAATTACTTTAAATATTAATACCAATCCACAAGAGTCACTGCCAGACTATAGCTTAGTAAGCCTGATCAAGCTCCTGCCAAATTAGGCAACTTACCCTAATCCTGACTGATTCACTATACACAGACACAAACACAGACACAAACACAAACATAAACATAACAAACACAGTAAATGAGCGCACAGTAAAATTCTAGGATAAAAGGCTCCCCATCAGTAATGCGTCGATATCCTGTGATGCTCCTCACCACCTTAACTTGATGCAGCACCAAGCCATCTGGTAGCTGTCTATCAAAATGCCCCAAGCCTATGAGACCTTCAACACCAGGGTCGACGTCCCCTACAGTATGATACTGGCATGGAACGCCCGCTACATCAACGGCACCAACGCAACTCGCCCTCCCGGCGTGCGAACTCCCTTCTGGCGTCCCGTGCAGAACCCCCCCGAGCCTCCCTTTAAGCCAGAGCCCATCGTCCCATTCCGCATACTCGATCTGCCACCCGAACTGCGTGAAGCGATCCTCTACCTCGCCCTTGAGAACACCTCGGCCTACTCGCTCGACCGCCAGGTCATCACCCTTGGGTCCCCGATGCGCTCCAACGTCTTCATCCCACGTCGCACCGTCTGGCAAAACTCCACCGGCCAGTTCCTTCGTCTGCTCCTCGTCAGCAAACAGGTCAACGCCGAGGTCCAGCGCATGCTCTTCAATCGATTTGCGTTCGATACCCCCGGCTGGGGCAGACTTCTGCAGCGCTGGTCGCGAGCAACTGGTGGAAGAGCCTCTCTTCTTTCATCTTCTTCTCCCTCTTTGCTGACCATCTCTACCCTCCCAATCAAACAACTCAAACATTTGGTGTACACGCCGCACTATACCGAGAGAATCGGCGAGCATGAAATCAGCATCGCACGCGTCGTCTCTTTGCTACGCTCGCTGTGTGACGTTCGCATCCTCGTCACTTGGGCCTGTGCTCAGGTCTTGCTCGGCAAAGACAACCAACAGCAGGGTAATAATCAGACCCAGATCGATACCATGAAGGGAGCCCTGCACATTGTCCGAGTTGCCCGGTTGTTCAGCCCCGTCAAAAAGGTCGCGGTTGTCGGGCAGTCCCTGGCCACCCCGGAGGAGAAACGTATGCTCGACGAGGCACGCGACATGCTCAAGGAGGAACGCTGGTATTGGGAGCTCCCTAGCGATTATGCCTTTTCCTCCCCCTCCTCTTCTTCTGCAATCGAGAGAACTCTTTAAATCGTACTTGGGGAGGAATACTCAAACCAATACTGGAGCCTGGAAGCTGGAGTCTGGAATACTGAACATCTTTCTCGATCAATACTGGAGTCCGGAATACTGAGCATCTTTCTTAGCAAAAACGCTGGATTAGGGTTTCCATATTAGAATAGATCAGAATAATTTCTAAGAAACAAAAAAAAAAAAGAGAAATAAAAGGAAAGATATCCGATATTTGCAATTGTATCAAACCCTGTAGAAAAAAAAAGCCCCAAGAAATGTGACACACCGAATTACCTACGCTCACACCATGACTCCAATACTGATGATGATAACAGGACTTGATCCGCCTCGGACTTTTTTTCGAGATGAAAGAAAACAATGGGAGGGAAAGAAAAAAGGAAAAAAAAAAAGGAAGGCTGTAGGTCTAGGTGAACTAACAGCAAAGACCATGGGCTGACTGCGTGTGCTGCTGGTTCCAGAACCCTGACTCGGACGTAGGCTGTTCCGAGGGGCATTCGGAGCGTATATGGGAGAAGTATTCCGTCATGCAGACCGAGTTGAACGGGTTTTGCTGTTGGTGGTGATGGTGGTGGTGGTGATGATGATGTTCATGGCCTTGATGGGAACTTTCCCTCACTAGAAGACTCGTTGAGATGGGGGCCACGGTAATCGCGGCACTGGAGGTTTCCATATACGGAGGATGCGGAGGCTGATGCTGCGGCTGTTCGGGAACTGTTTCCAGGACATTCTTGAGGCTGTTCATGGACGACAGACCGCCGCTCAGGACGCTGGTTGGTATCGTTGTGGCCTCGGAGACCTTCTGGTGCGCCTCTTCCGCGGCGGGAGAGGAACCTGCCTCGGACGAGGTCACTGGAGAGACCGAAGTCGCAGTTGTCAGTGGGCTTGCGGCCACGTCGTACTCGGACGAGGGAGGTTCGAGAGGTGCGTCGGCCAGTTGCACTTGGGAGACGTAGATAACCGTTTCGGCGTCTGGAGAGTCAGTTCACGCACATATAGGTACAAGCTATGTACGGATAACCCACCCAACTCGCCATTTAGATAGCTCTCCTCCATCTGCCGCACATGGTAGATCTCATCGAGCACATGCAGGCGTTCTGTAGGAGTGATCTGACGTCGCACGTCGGAGCCGGCCTCTTTGAGCTTCTCGGCGGTGATACGGTGGCTGTGGAACAGTTCGCAGAGGATATGGACCAACAGACGGATGCGTTCTACCAAGAGTTAGATGAAAAGCAAACCTTCTCTATTTTTTTTTTTTTTTTTTTTTTTCGCCTACCAGCTTTCAACAGATGATCTGGCTCCCGGTGCTTGACGCCTGCCGGCCACCATTTCGGTTTGGTCGACTCCGGATCCGCCCGTCGCGAGGCTCCGGAGCTGCCTCTTCTTCCATTGTACGGGTGATGGACCTGCTTGCGGGGTTCGACGAGCTTGATCCATGCCTTGGCGATGGCACGACAGTTGAGCTGCTGGAAGGTGTCGAACGCCTTCTCGTAGTACTTGTGCAGCAGGCTGGTGTTGCTGACCTGCAGCGCTGACCGCCGCAGCACGGGGCAGGGACGCAACGCGTCGCCGGAGCCGGCCGACAACGAGGAAGAGGAGGAAGACGAGACAGAGGAGGAGGCGGCGCTGAAGGTGCTGAGGGTATCTGTTGCTGTTGCTGTTGCTGTTGCCGTTATCGTGGCCGTGGCGGTGCCTAAGGCGAGCGTTCCGGGTAACCGTGTGCTGCGTTTCTGACGCTTGTTTTGCTGACTCTGCCATTCACAGGGGATAAGGTCTTGCCGGCTGGGAATCCGCCCCTGGTACCAGCCCGTGCTGGCGGGCATGCCGTACGGATAGCCAAAGAGCATCATCGGACGCTCTGGGAGCGTGGAGTCACACACAGAGTCTCGGAGCAGTCAGCTTCCTTCCTTCCTTCCTTCCTCCACCCATCATTCCCAACCAGAAAAAAAGGAAAGAAGAGCTGTCAGAAACAACTCACTGGCGTTGTTAGGTGAAGTCGACTGGAGACCTAGCGCAGCCGACTTGAGAAACCGCTCCTTGGAGTCTTCGAGGAAGATCATGTCACCACAGCCGGCCACAGAGGGAGATCCCTCGAAGCCAAGGTCCCCGTTCTCGTCGACATATAGCATGGCAAAGTGCGGATACGGGACGTCCACGGGGCGTCGGGGTACGGGTATAGACGGCGGCGGCGGCGGCGGCAGCTGTTGCTGCTGCTGGGAAAAGAGACACACACCATTAGCTGGACTCTGGGACCTCGCATGAATGCCGGTAGGTTGATTCCCACTCGTACTGTTGACTGTGTGCGCATCAGGGCGTCATGATAGAGCAACATCGTGCCGTGCTCCTGCTCACCGTCCATGGCAGAGGACTTTCGGATCTTTCCCATTCTAGGCGTGCCTGTCAATAACGGCAATACAGGAAGGATTTCGACTCAAACAGTCGGAAGAGAGAGGCTTGAACTCAACGCTCGGATCGCAGCCAAAAAGAAAACAAGAATAAACTTGTTTTTCAGAGACTTCCAAGGGGAATATGGGTCAGGGACATGCAAGTTATAGGTCTCGGAGAAGAAGCAATGGTTTATCTTCCAGTGGAAAAAGTACCAAATCCCCAGTGGTCCACCACCGCATCGGGGCCCAGTTACACTACAGAGTGCGGTTGATCTGCGATTATGCCCTGCAACTATGTACAGCATGCTCTGCTCTGGCGGAAGCTGTTTTTGCTGCGGATGCAAGGAAGGTCACAACGACAGAAGACTGAGGGGCTTGCAGGGCTACCCTCCAAAAGTATGCACCTGCTGGTATATTACGTTACATTTCTGATTATACGCTAAGAGATTGGTGCTCTTTTTCTCTCTTGCAACAATGCGGCTACAACGTTCTACCGCATTTAAGACGCGCACCATGACGAAGGCGGGAAGAGGGCGAGGAAGGAAGGGAAAAGAGAGGGAAAGAGACGGAGAGAAAGGGAGAGAGAGAGAGAGAGAGAGACAGGCAGCTGGGAGAATAGAGTCATCCATGGGAAACGATCGACGTCTCTCAGAGACCCGAGGAATCGGGCCCCTATCTCCCTCTTGCCTCTTTTCTTGCTGTCCGTTGATCTGTGATCAAACAAGCCCAGTCAGGTTCCGGTCGTCTGGGTCGTTGCTACGTGCCGTATGAAGTTCAGAAGTACAGAACACTCGAGACTATAGACAGGTACGCAGCTCGTCTCCTGGAAAAAGCTCAATGAATCCATTTACCTGCGTCGTGGCTTCTAACTCCATATAGAAGAGTATCAAGAGGCGGATGGACTCGGAGACTTACTCCGTATCTATGTACTTCGTACGGAGTACGCAGAACGCCGAGCGAAACCGAACTTTTTTCTCTAGCCAAGGAGAATTCATCCGACCCAATAGGACTGCAAAAGGTCCATCCTCCGTACTCTGTACCACCCGCTGTCACAGGCCATTGCGCTTCCGGGGGGCCGCACAATAGCTTTGACCGCCGTCCACCCTCTGGCCGGGGTCTGGGAAAGTTAAAAGACGATACTCGACACTGGACAGCTTCACTTTCTGGCGCGCTCCAATGGCAGAGCGTCGATGTGGATCGAAATTCCCATCTCCGTCCAATGATGACCCCCCGATGCGGTGCATTTGTTCACTGCGTCCAGCTGCCATCATCCACTGCGTGGTCGTGCTTTTTTTTTTCTCGACGCTACCCGGGAGGGGCAGATCCCTGGAACCGAATTCTGCAGGACTATATTTAATATTACGCTGGCCTATCCAGTGCCGACAGTCCTGGGTATAACTAGCGTGCGTTGTCTGATGGACGTACTCCACACGCTATTAAGTATTTGACATTTGGCCACCATGGCCAAGTAGTCTGGTGCTGACTTGTGTGTTCCCAGAACCAGAGTCTGGAGCGCTCTACCTCGTACCCCCCCAGAGGAGCATCCTGTCTGGACGCCTCGTGAAGATGAGATCGCCGAGAGCGGGGGGAGGAGGGAGGAGGGAGGGGGGGGGAGAGAGGAAAGAAAGAGAATGGGAAAAAAGGACAGAAAAAAAAGCAGAAGAGAAAAAGAAAAGGGAACGAATAAGTCAATCGACTTGGCAATCTGCTGGCGCCCCTGTCATAAACACCTGGCAGGCATTCGACCCAAGAATACTCCGTCAAGAAACCCTACGCATTAAGCATCAAGCTTTCGAAGCACCTTCCAGTTCCCCGAGCTGAAACTTGGGAAGGAAGCCTGGACCACCGCCTGTCGACTGGCCTGGAGGTTCTGATCGATTGCGCATGTCATTTCTATCCGAGGATCTTCGGCATCAGATAGTTACTTCCATGGTCAGGAGGCATCTCAGCCTGGAGATTGAAGTATCCACTGCTCCCCCCACTTCCCAACGCGCGCCTATCTGCGAAACATACCCTGACCCTGCCACTGGCATCGCGTCATAGGGTTTAGTAGTGGTTGCCGTTACCTACCTGGGCTCCTCCGTCCTGTGGCGCGACGGACGGCTCGGGGAGGGGGAGCAGCAGCAGCAGGAAGAACATTGGAGCTGAGGTCGGACCTAGGCCTAGCCCCCCGGAAAATTGATCGGCTCGCGTCTGTACAATCTGTTGTTCCGCGCCTTCCATGTCGCATCTCGACTTGTGCATATGTCCGCTATCTGTCCCGCAGCGGTTGAAGCTGAGCTTTCAACCGCACTCGCTCTGAGGGGAAGACTTAGACACTAAGATGACAGGACAGGAAAGTCTCCCGACCGAAGAGATTCGGGGCCTAGATAGCGCCCGGATGAATGGAGGCGAATCATGGATGGACGGAGAGCACGACACCATACTTCGTACAGGGCATACAGTTGGCAGACAGACAGACCCCTTGCTTTTTTGCGGGGAAGGGAGACATTGGTAGACACGCTGAATGGCTCCTGGAAACCGCTCTCGACGCCCGACTACTCGATGAACTGGCATCCGCCACATACGTGGGTGGTGATATTATGCAGCGATACCTAATTCCAGGAATCTTTCCGGCGTGACCTGGGTGAGCGGTGGGTGCGGTCAGAGCCAGGGCAGGGGGGGTCTGCGCCTTCACACGTCCTCCGATATCGATTTTGCAGGATACAATGGAAACAGCCTAGCCCTGCCCAACGAAGTACGAAAGTGCCGTTGATGTCATTTTGCTTTCCACGACGTGGAGAGTGGCTATCATCATCAATTACTGCCCACCACCACCATCACCATTACCTCGACGACCACCACCACTACTACTACTACAGTCTACACCCCTGCAGGCTGTACGAATCGCACAGTACAGACTACTGTACCAAAAGTACGGACTAGGTTATTTCTGGTACCTAGTTAGTCAACTAGTTAACTAGTACGGAGCAGTTCCGTCTCCTTCTTACGAAAGACTGGGTACCTTTGCACCCAAAGCAGCTCCATACGGGGTAATCATTTTGACGTCTGCTTCAGGCTCTCAGACGTTGGTAAAAAAAAGACGCCAACGGGCCACCACCGACTGGCTCCACGTTCCTGTTGGGAGGGGAATCTGACATTTGACAGCCCTTGGCTAGCACTGTTATTGGCAATGATCGAAGCTAATCTAATAATGGGATGATGCAATGAAAAGCAATGACAATTTCGGCAGTACTACCTATGTACTAACTACTTGCTTGATCGAGATACGAAGTCGCGGGGAGACAAAAAAAAGAGAGGGGGAGGGGGGATTCTTGATAGCAAACCGCGTCCTGCCAATCGACACCGATTGAGGCGAATCAGCCAAGTATGATTGACACGGCCCATGTCTCACGAAACAATCCCATTGTTTTGGGTTGAGGTGGAATTGAATTCGATAGCGGTTCCAAACGACTGTCTGACTGCAGCGCTGCCGCTGGGTTACACTGGGATCGCCGCCCTATCCAGCCGTTCGTGTCCATAAAAACCATTCATATAATATACCTAGTACGGATCCGTACGTGGAAAGCAATAAAATCGAATATTGAATCCAGAAGGAATACGAAGCCGCCCGAATGCTGTAACAGAGGAGTAATCAATCGCCCATTCGATGCTTCACTCCTGCAGCCACCAAACTACCGATAACACGGAGACAATGTCCGGCCATCTCGGAGATCCCTATACGAAGGCAAGATGGGCCAACTGTTTGAAATGATAGATAGGTACTTACCTACCTAGATAGTAGGTGTGTTTCGGACTCTAGACCTATCAAAACGCATTCATTCGTTCATTCATTCATTCATTCCTAACAGTCCTTGTCTTTGCTAATCCTTTACCTGTAACCCCATGATCCTTGGGCCTTCAATCTTGACCCGCTCTAGAAGTAAGCTATAACTAGATCGCTTCCTCTCTTAGAGCTCGCCACCTACTCAGCCTCATCGCCGTGGATTGTTTCGAGTGGGTACCTGGGTATTCTGTACTCCGTACGCCAGGCCTCTCGGGATTTGCCGTGTCCCGAACAGCGACATGACTCGTACAAAGGGGCTAGTCGGGGGCTCAGCATCGCGGAGGACAAGACTCCAGGAGAATTGGGACAGGAGGGGTCCCGGGTTCCCTAGAAGGGAAAAAAAACCCATAGGACACCTGTATGATCGAAGGGATCCATTGATTCATTGACTCGGGGACCCAAACTATCTCGCGGTGCAACCTCGGAGCCGAGTCGAAGGAGAAAGGGAGAAAAGGACAGAAGAAAAAGAAAAAGAAAGAAAAAAGAAAAAAAAAAAAGGGAAAAAAATAATCGAGAATGAACTATTGTACTAGTGTACACCGACATAATAGGAGCAAAACGGATAGTGTCAGGGATTCCAAATCAAAAGATATTCGATCGATTAATTGTATTTCCGGAGCTACGCAAGAACCCAGTTAGCCTGCATGAAAAAAGAGAGAAAATTACAAAAGGGACAGGAGGGAAAGAAAGGCAAGGCAGGGGAGAGAGAGAAAAAAAGAAAAGAAAAGGAAGAAAAACCAACGTACATCAAGCGTCAGCGACTTGCTGCTGTTCTCGGCCTGGTCTCTGTAGATGCCAACGAGCGCCTCGCTGTTCTGGAACAGGCCTGTTTTGAGACTGATGACGATAAACTGCATGCCCGGCGCGGCATGGTCATGGATGTAGTTGGCGATTCGCGCGACGTTGGTGTTATCCAGCGCTGCGTCGACCTCGTCCAGCACGAAGAAAGGTGACGGCTGGTAGGAGTGGATGGCGAAGAGCAGGGCCAGAGCCGCCATCGTCTTCTCGCCGCCAGAGAGATGCTCCATGTCCCGGAACCGTTTCAGGGGCGGCATCGCATGGTATTTGATTCCGTCGAGATAGGGCTCGTCCGAGTCTTCGATATCCAGATACCTGTTTCAACAAGGCAAGAACGATGTCAGTCAGCAAAAAGAAAACGGGGGGCGTTACACATCAATTCGAGACACTCGGGGATGGCGTACGCTTGTCCTCCAAGAGGATAATTGGCACTGCGTGTCAATTCACGATAGATCGGTCCAATCTGCTCCGAGATGTGCGAGAAGGCCTTGTTGAACAGATCCGAGCGCTGGCGCATCACTGACTCGAAGTCGTCTTTCGCCTTGCGGGCCCGCTTGCGTGCGTTCTCAAAGTCCTTCTCCGTGCCCCGGAGCTTGCTCTCTACGCTCTCCAATCGTTCCAGAGCACGGGTGTTGGGCGTCATCTTTTCCAGCTCGCTGTTTAGAGCTCGGACTTTGTCCAATAATTCTTCTTCGAGTTTGTCGTCGGCCTCCTAACGTGCAGATTTTATTAGTCAAAGAATGATTTTGGCGTGTGATGGATAGAAAAAAAAAAAAAAAAAGAAAAAAGAAAAAAGAAGGGCAATAATCACCTCCTTTAGTGTCTCTCCCAAAGAATCAAAGTCGACTTCGATCCCATAGTCCTGGATGACTGGTCCCTCCCCGTTGCTGCCAGTAACATCTTCGTCCACGTCCATGGCTTCCGGGTCAGTTGCTTGGACGAGATCATCAATGGGTAGCTGATCCAGCGAGTTTGAGGTATCCGTGAGAGGAATGTCGATGTCTTCGAGTTTGCATCGTCGGAGCAGGGCGTATCGGCTCGACGAGTTTCGCTGGATCTCGCCCTCAAGAGCGTTGACGGCCCTGAGAGACGATTCGACGTTTCGACTGCGCTTCTGAAGCTCTCGGCGTTCCTGAGTTAGACTCTCTCCTGCATGCGCATACAACTCTTTCTGTTCCTCCAGACGTTCACGAAGGATCTCCAGCTCTGCCTCGCACTCGTCGAGCTTATGGCGAATCTGTTCCTGTTCCGCCCTGAGTTCCTCGATGAGGGCTGTATCACGCTCATGCTGGGCCTTGAGGCCGTTGATACGATCGGCAGTTGCCTGTAGGCGCTGTCTCTCGAAGCTGAGCTGGTTCTCGATGCGGCTCTTCTGCGTAGTGAATTCGAGCTTCTTCTGCGTGGCTTCTTCTTGTAACGACCCTTGCTGTACTTCGTATTCTCGGATATTGTCGTAGCCGAGACGTTGGCAGAAAGCACCATACACTTCATCCTCAACGCTGCTCACAGTTTCTTGCGATGCCTCAATGGCTTGGTCGAGGTTCTCCAGCGCCTTTCGCTGCTGTTCGTATTTGGGCCGAAGCTCCTTGAGCTGGCGCTTGACAAAGTCGAGCTCGCTGCGCTTGCTCTCCAAGTTGCGCTCAAGCGACTTCTTCTCTTCGCGGGCATAGGAAAGGCGCTGTTCAAGACCGACCAGGTCGCCTTGCAAAGATTCCTCTTCTGTACCGCGGCGGTGACCCTTGGGCAGATTGCCAAGATCGGCAATCAATTTGTCTTTCAATTTATACAGGTTTTCCACTTCCGCATCCTCCCAGCGCTTCGAATTTTGCTGAGGCCCACGTCCACCAGTCATCAAACCGCCCTTGTGGATCACCGTGCCGTCCAAAGTGACGGCTTTGGCGTCAATATGTCTCTCATAGCAAAGGTACTTGGCGGTAGCTAAATCGTCGCAGACAATGGCGTTTCCACACGAGTAGCTGATGGCTCTTGCCACGGATTCGTCGTAGTCCACCGTCTCAATAGCCGGGCGCATTCCCCGATGCATACCTTTCAGATTCGAGTTGAAAGCTTTCACTTGAATAGTCTCGAGAGGGATAAAAGTGGCCTGGCCCGCCCGTTGGTCGCGCAGATGCTGGATACACTCTTTTGCGGTTTTCTCGTTGTCAACGACAATAGCATCGAAATGCCGCCCGAGAACGGTGCTGACTGCCTCTGCGTACTTCTTCTGCTTCGGACGGCATAGATCGCTGACGCGACCTTTGACGCCAGGAAAGATGCGCTTCAGAGTCGAGATCAGTTCCTTCGCCCTCACTTCCCTTTCGGTCTGTTTCTTGCCATCATCGGCTTCGAGTAGCTTTTTCAGAACAACTTGCAGCTTCTCCTCGAGCTCGATTCTCATCTGGGAGACACGCAGGCGTTCGGACGTCAGGGCATTCAGTTCCTTCTTTTTGCTGTCGATGTCTTTGGACGCCGTCTTGATCACATCATCGACTGCCGATTTCCGCTCGACCAGTGTTTGGGTATCATTCTGAAGGCTTTTAAGTTGCCACTCGGAGCTCTCATACTTGCTCTTCAGGCTGTTTACGGCTTCAGCCTCCGTTTTCTGCTGTCGCCGCAAATTGTCAAGATTCAGCTGTTCGGCAGAAGAGCGCCGATTGACTTCTTCTTTCAGCTTGTTGTACTCATGTTGGTCTGCCTGACTCAATTGACCGCCCTTCTTGTTCATGCTCTTCTGCCATTCTGATTCCCATTGGGCGTGCGCCTTTTCGACAACCTTCAGGTCCTTTTCGAGTTGCTTTGCATTGGACGACTGCGAATCACGTTCCTTGCCGATCTCTGCGATCCTTGAAGCGTATCGTTCGACCTTCTTCATCGTGATCTCAACCTTCTCGTCGACGGGCACTAGCGAAGTGTTTAATTCTTCAATTTCCTTCTCCTTCTTCGCAATGTTCTTTTCCGCTTTCATCACGTCCCGTCCCACTCGAGCGTGCTCCTTCTTGGCGTCTTCCACGTTCTTCTCGTATTTCTCCACACCGCGGCGGTGTTCCTTGAGCTCGTCCTGGTATTTCTGGATATCGGCACTGGAAGCGTCAATCAAGCGCTGAAAGTGGAAGAGCTTCCACAAGATATGTGTGATGATAGCTTGGTCCCGCTCCTCGGCCTTGCGTGTGTAGTTATCTGCTTCCCGCTTCTGCTCCTGATACTGTTTGATCTCGGAGTTGATACCTCTTCGGCGGTTGAGCTGTGTAGTTTGATCCTCGGCGGCCTCCTCGGCCTCAGCCTTGAGCCGTTCGTATTCCGCCTTGTACTCCAAACTTCCCGAGATCTGCTCAATCAGACGAGTGAGGTCCTTGGGGGACTGTGACGCGATCGCCTCCACGTCACCTTGAAAGACCAAGAAGTTGCGCGCCTTGATGAGGATGTTCTCTGCCTCGAGAGCCTCATTGTATTGCTGAGCGGTGACGATGCGATTGTTGATCCGATATTCGCTCACGCCCTGACTCGTGATAGATCGACGCCATTGTTGCTCCTCGCCTGCGTCGTCCTCGTAAACTGCCATGACCCACGCGGTTTTTGGATCGCTCTGAGAGCTTTGCTCCTGCGAGGCATCCCCATCCATATCATCTTCTGCTTGTTCACCATCCTCCTGACCTTCCCCCGCCGGAGATGGTTCCCCGTCGACTTTTGATGTACGTAGGACCCGCCCTCGATAGACAAGATCGCGAAGATTCGTGGAACGGAGATGGGAGGATTTGATACCTAGGACGAAAGAAATTGCATCCATGCTGGATAGATAAACCTGTTAGCCATCACATCGTAGGCAGCCAGCAGGGCGACGACAACGCACGAATTTGACTTCCCCGAACCGTTCGGTCCGATGATCGACGTGAAGTACGCATCGCCAAAAAGAAGAGTATGGTGCCCTTTGTAAGACTTGAAATCTGTAAATTGATCAGTAACGAGTTCAGCGGTGTCGCAGTTTCCAGTCCTCACTGAAAAGCTCCAGCCGAATCAGCTTCCCCATCTTTGCGACGCGGCCGCCGTGCAGCAGTTGGGATGTCTCTCTCCCTCTCTCTCCCTCTCGCTCTTTGACAAAACAAAAGCACTCGGCGAGAGTCTTCAGCAAGCTCAAATCCGGTTTCACACAGCCGCAGCCGGTTCCGATCGATGCCGCAAATAATCTGAGAGCTGCTGTGCAGTGTTTGGAGGGGCTCGCGCGCTCGATAGTGCTCGCGTCACGGCTCAGACTCGACACGCGCGGTGGATCACGTGATGCATCGCTGTAACAGACTAACAGTACAGCACAGTGCAATGTGCAGACTGCAGTGACCTGGGCCTGCCCTGATTACTACAGTTGATATAGCTCTAGCTAGAGTCTAGATTTGGTAGGATTGAGAGAACTTGAAAAGTTGTCTTAGAAGTACAGGTTTGTCTTGTATATGTACAGGCACCGAGTCATGTTGACAAGGGAGTAGCGGGGCTATGGAGTAGTAGCCAGGATGAATCCGTGCTTTCACGTTCACTGTCGGCGTGGGGGGAGCTTGACGCTCAGCGGGTCTCCAATAGCGAGGAAGTCTTCAGAGAGATAGCCCTTGGAGTCCATTCGGAAGGCGCCCTTGAGCCCTTGCATCTCCAGCATGACAAAGTCTTCTTGAGTGAAAATCTGTCTCACGGAGCGGAAGACTTTCCAAAGGGCCATGCTGACTTTCTTCAGTGGGGCCTTGAAGAAGGTGACATCCTCCGGACGCGTAGAGGTCCCTGTCTGTCTCAGAGCATCGGGGTGAACCACAAGTCGGCGCGAGATAACCAGCTGGCGAGGCATCACAGTAAATTCCCAGGGCTTCATGAATGGGATGATCCGGCGAACCGAAAAGTTAAGCTGCGTCTGGCCGTTGGAATACACGGCCGTGACAGTTTTTATTAAGCGACCTGTCTTGAACAGGAAGACCGTGCCCATGACACTCATCACGATACAGATGCCACCAAACAAGGTTTTCTGCCACGTAGGGAGCGGCATGATAGGGTCTCGAAACACGATGTTGGAATTGTAAATCGAATAGGCAAACGAAAAGGCCGCTATGCCGTACGCGCCTAGGATATAACTCCGGTGGGAGGGCGCCCGGTAGAGAACCACCGATCCTTCTTTGGCTACCTTGCGGTCTAGCTTGCCAAACCCCTCCGGCCGTTTCCCTGCGAACTTCAGAGTCATTTCATCTGCGTCTTGGTGCTTTTTCTGTGTCGTTGTGGGTTTTCGCGAGGCATTGCTCGGTTTCGGGGCTCTGGACAGAGGAGAGTTGGAGAAGAAACGCCATGCCGGACTGCGAGAAGGTTGATGGAATGCCGACTGGAAGAACTGCCGCGGGCACTGCTCTAGGCATGCCGGATGGATAAAACGCCTTGTAAACATGCCTGCAACTGTTTGTAGACGTTGCGTTGGTGAAATCCGCTTGTGCCGATGCTAGGCGTACGCCTCAATTTGCTGGAAAATCGCCAGATCAGCAATGGAAATAGACGAGACAAACCCCTCCTGTCAAGAAAAACTCACCCGCCAATTAACCTAACACCACACTGGTCGGTTTTGAAATCAATGAAGGCTCTCTGTCTTGTTTTGGTCGCCCTTCGCCGTCATTTCGCTGCGGCAGAAAAATGTTCCCGTCCCGGCCGCCGGTGAAGCTCCCAACAACCTCAACGCCGCAGGTCAAGACGGAGCCTCGCCATTGACACCTCAGCGTGGATGGTCGTCGTCAGTGAACTGTTCTGTGGATCCAGCAGACCTTGACGCCAATTCGAGCGGGCCCTTTGACGAAGGTGGTGGACTCTCTGATCGACTTTGTCCATCCCAGCGTCCGCGTTCATCGCTTCCGGATCTTCCAGGAAAAGGCACAGTCTGTCGAACTCGACCAGGCCCATCAGATTAAGCAATGGCGGCTTCATTTTCTGCACTTCGACTACCGGTCTTGATGGCCAGGAGGCAGCCAAGCCTGCACGGTGTATCTAGACGTGAGTTACACCACGCCGCCGTTGAAGGAGAATCTCCCGAGATAGCCGTTTTACCTTGATTGATATACACCCTGAAGAACCATTGCTGATTTACGACTGTGAATCTCTAGGCCTTGCGTCGTCTGCCGCCACGCAAACCCACAACCCCGCCTACCCTCTCTACCCGTCTGTCATCCAGCTCCTGCACGAGAAGGGCATCCCGGAATCCGAGGTCTCCAAGATCCCCGCGTCTGGCCCCAAGGGCCGCCTTCTCAAGGGCGACGTGCTCGCCTACCTAGGCAGCATTGCAGCGGACTACCCGGCGGCCCAGCAGGCGCGTTTCGAGAAGCTCTCCCACCTCGACCTCAGCAATATCAAGCTCGCGCCGGCGCCTCAACCGGTCGAGACCAAGGCTCCCGCCGCCGTCGAGGAAGCAGCAGCAGTCGCTGCTGCGCCGGCCCCTCCCGCCACGATCTCCGTCGCGGTGTCGGTCTCCCTGGCTGCAGTGCTCTCCGTCCAGAACAAGCTGAAGGAGAGCCTCGGCGTGACGGTCCCGCTGGCGACCTTCCTCGCGCGTGCCACCGATCTCGCCAACGACGACCTCCCCCGCTCCGCGACCCAGAAGCCCACCGCGGACGAGCTCTTCGACGAGATCCTCGGCGCCAGCCCCGTCAAGACCTCGCGCGGAGAATACTTCCCCGAGCTGAACACCCTCGAGGCGGCCGACTTGGTTACCCCGAAGAAGACGGTCAAGAAGGATCTCATCGATTACCTCGCCGGGTCCTCTGCGTTCGTCAAGAAGAGCTCCTCCTCCCCCTCCCCGATCACCTGGCTGCCCTCGGAGGAATACCTCCCTGGCTCAGCCGCCAACGTGTTCAGCCTGACGGTGCCCCAGGGCGACGAGAAGCGCGCCAAGGCCTTCCTTGAACGAGTCCGGGTCTTGTTGCAGGTCGAGCCGGGGCGGTTAGTTCTATAGATACGAAGAATAGCTGGCTTTGTTTTTTTTTTTGTTTTTTGTTGCGCGCGCAGTTTTGAACTATTCGAATATCCTGCGTTCGTTGTATTCAGTGTAGCATAGATAATGGATCTCGTTTCTCATAACCAACCACCTAGGTAGTCTACCTTGCCTACAAATACATAACAACTACAATTCCCATCATGGTCACTGATCATATTGATTCATAGTAAAGACAAATATCGAAGATATGCTGGCGCACCACATATTCCCCGCTTCATCAAGGCAAAGCAGAGTATCAAAAGCAGAAGCGAAGCGTCAATGTTCGCAAGGGGTCATCTCGTCATCAATGGGGGCAAAAAAGAAAGGAAAACCGCATCCCATGCAATTAGGTAGAAGGCAGATCGAGGTCGAGACAGGGGAAAAGAAAAAAAAAAGAAAACTTCGTAAAGCAATTGGAAAGTGAAAACGAAGCGAAGCAAAACAAAACATCGAATTACCCGGTTCAAACGCCACATGCTGGTTCACCAACTCCACGAAGCGCCGACGCTTGGGGGTAAAAAAAAAAAAAAAAAAAAAGGGGAAAAAAGAACATAGGTTATATGCCTGGAATTTCTGACCTGCTGATCGAGCAGAGAGAACCATGGCATAATAACTCGAGGATGGAAAAAAAGACACGCCAGGAGGGGAAAAGTCGGGGGCGGTGCCCGGGCTCGTTGAAAACGGGAGGGAAGGAAAAAGAAAAAGAGTCATAGACGAGCTGATACCTTGCCCCGGATATGCTTGGAACTTGCGGAAGATGCAAAACAAAAACCCAAACGCCATGTCTAATGCAAACCCGATGGATGCATGAAATCTTTGAGGGGGGAAGGAAGGGGGGAAATGGAACGTGGGAGAAGAGCAGACCAGCAGATCGGACCGCTTTATCGGATCGTCCCCCATTCAGCCAGCTTGCTACCTTCGCGACCGCTATCTCTCCCGGATCTTTTGTTGAAGATCTTCCAAAACCGCAAGGTTTCGTCGCCGGCGCCGGTCACAACGGTCTGGCCGTCCGGACTCATGGCAAGGTACAGCACACGGAAGGTGTGTCCGGTCAACGAGACGATCTGTTCCATGCGCGGGTACTTCCAGATGACGATTTGGTTCTGGCTGTAGCCATGCGTGCTGATGATCTCGTCCGAGTTCTTCGACCAGGCCAAGTTGCACACCTGACTGCCTGTGTCGACTTCCTTGATCAGCGATCCGGTCGACGTGTTCCAGAATTTGATCGTGCGGTCGGCGGTACCACCGCCCGAGGCCAGGAGGTGGTGCTGGTGCGGAGACCAGGCGATCGCCTTGACTGCTGCGGTGTGGTCGGAGAATCGATAGAGGGGCGTCTCGTTCAGCTTGTCCCAGACCATCAGCTTGTTGTCGTTGCCACCAGAAGCCAGTTGGCCGTCTTCGGTGTTCCATCGGAGACCACAGATCTCTTGCTTGTGACCGGACAGCCGACGGAGGTACTGATCGGGCGAACGCACGTCGCGGTGGAAGATTAAGCGGTCCCGAGAACCAGAAGTGAGGATGTGGTCGTTCCAAGCCAAGGCCCCAACACGGTTTGTGTGACCGATCATTGTTCGGAGACGGCGACAATTTTCTGCATCCCAAATCTGTACCAAGCCCTTGCCAGTTCCGATTGATAGATGGGTACCCTAGCGTCCGGTTAGTAAAGGGTTCTCTCCCCCGCTCTCTCTCTCTCTCAAAAAAAAAAGGCAAGCTATAACTAACCCTCTGGATCCAGCTGACGCTGGTGACGGTGTCGTCACGGAGTTCGCAGAGTTTCGTCACTCGGCCTGACTGTGAATTCCACATGTAGACCGAGTTTCCAAGCCCCACGCCCAAGACATTACTGCTTCCCCAGTCCACAAGGTTAAGATAGAAATCGTCCTGGAGATCGGGGGCGTCGAGAACTTTGTAGGGGACCTTATTCACATAACGGGGTTGCTTGCGTGGCGTTTCGAGGATGCGTTGGCTATCATAACGGATGGGAGAGAGGCTGTAGAGTTCGGAGCGGACGTTGAGGTTCGGGCCGTGTTGGCTGCGAGGAGTTTTCGAGGGTGTAGGCTGACCTGAGCCTGGTCGGGGTGATGCGTAGGTGAAGAGGTTTTTATGCGGGGTGGAGGGAGTGATGCTTGCCGGGGGAAGGTTCGAGACAACGTGGGTGGGAGGGGTATGGGAGCGGGTTTTCTCGATGATCCCGCCGTTGAGGCCGAGTAAGGGATCTGGCGATAACGAATCCAGGTCACTCTGAGGGACGGTATTGCCGAACAGCTCGCTGCGCAAGACTCGCGAGTACATGCGATTTGCTTCTTCCGCTACATCCGCTTGTTAGCCAGGAATGGGAAACAACAGTGGCTTTCAGATCCCACTGACTCTTTTGGAAATGAAGCTCGGAGTGAGGAGCTCGCTTTTTCGTCTTTGACGGGGTGGACGGGCATCCGTCCTCGTGTAGTAGGCTGTATGTTGCCTGCAAGTCTTGACCTTCGCGGTTTGGAATGAATCTGTAGACCATATTAGACAACAAGACTCCCCTCCTCTGACTGCAGGCGGGGTAACAAAGGGCAAAAACAATAAAAGCAAAGGAGTATGGAACGATGTCGCCTACCTGTCTCCGTAGACCCGTTGCCTTTTCCGACTGGGACTGGTCCCTGGGGTTCGTTCCCGCCGCCGACCGGCGTCCTCGTAATCCTTCAGAGCCTTGGTCAAGGCATCCGCATCAATCGGCTCGGAGGCAGTGCGACTCTTCTGCTGATCCGCCGGAAATACAATCGTCTTCTTAGCCGGCATGCTGGGCGGTGTTTTCGACCCTGGGGGGGAGGCGATATTCAGTGCACTCGCGACAGGTGCCGCCTGAGATTTCGCCTGCGTCATTGTAGCCTCTCGGGTCGCACTCTCCAGCTCCTTGATATGATCACCCATCTCGACAAACGGCGCCTGCGGACTCCTTCCTTCAGATCGATCCCTACAGGCGATTCGGTTCAGGCGAGATCACCAAAGCAACGGTAGGCCCATGCGACAGCGTTGTCGTCACCCGGCCGCCACAACTCGCGAAAGATCGCAGGGGAAAAAAAAAAGGTACGGTCGCTATCGGAACGACAAGATTCCGGTCCTGGATCAGGGTTCGATCGGTCGTTTTTCCCGGGATGTGTGCGCCGTTGGCCGCCAGTCGACAGGTCCGACCCAACCTCTCCCAGGCGGTGGTGGTAGTGGTGTGTTGCAAGGGCGGCGCAGCAACGGGGGAAAGCAGAAGCACACACACACACACGCACACACGCTCTCACTCACCAGACGACGGCAGCGTTGGAAAGAGACGACAACTCGTGGGGGCTCATTTGAGATCGACGCAGCCAGGATGTGAGTAAGAGTCGGATCGATAGCGGTGGTGGTGGGGGGGGGAACAGAGAGCACTTGTAAGGGCGCTGGCCGATGCGAAGCTTTGTTCTCTCTGGAGTCTACCTGGGACCATCATCCCTCCCTCCCTCCCAGGGCCTCCCTCCAGTCACGCGTCGGGAGCGCTAGTCCCGATTGGGACGGGCCCAACAGCACGGAGAATTTCCCAGGGAACCGCGCGATGGAATTGGACACCCCAGGAGGTGTGCGGCCGCGAGTTTTGGACGTCTCATAATTTAGAGAGGGAGGACTACGAGCCTGGGCGATCCTGTACTCCCGTATCTTCCTACACCGCGAGAAGAGAAGGCGTGGACGGACTGCAGGAGGGCACGTCCAACGCCCGCTGCCGGCGTCCGTCGACGAGGAGACGCTTCTTTGTTTACTCCCAAGTCAAGGGGCGCGTCGCTGCCGGCTCTGCTGTCTCTGTTCTGGCAGACGGCCAGCCTGACGGTGCCTTATCATTGGGCCTCGGATTGTTGATGTTTTCGTGTGGTGGACGCGAAACGCCCGCCTGCCGATTCGATCTGCGCGCTCTGTTGGAATGCCCTTGCTGATGGTCTAAGCGTGTTGGGACTAGCGGTGTCGTGACTCTACCTCTTATAAGTTATAAGTTATTATCAATGAACTTATTCTACTCAGTAATACTCTGTACGGAGTAACTACAGAGGGAGATGACTTCTAACTTCTACACAGTACTACTTACCTCCTGTCTAGATCTTTCCAGCCAGGACTCTCATTCTTTATCATTCCACGGAGTAACTGATGGTTTATTGCAATAATGGTCAATAGAAAGAGATGTCAAGCAATACCGTGGTTCCTACCTAGGTACCTGCTATCGAGTACTCTACAGGAGTCAGTCGTGAGGTCAGTAGCTCTCAGATACTCTTTGGTAGGTCCTACACGAGACTTACCAAGTACACCCCCCAGATTGAATTGAGAGCTGTGATTCCTGAACACGTGTCGATTCCTGCCGAGTTCCACGACCTAGGCCTACGGCTAGATACTCCATGTCTCATGGCCGTTGATATGTACTCCGTACTCTTATCAATCGACCTGCCAGAAGTGTTTGTCGTCTTCTTCAAGACCAGTACTCAGCAGTGATGGGAGATCCTGTGCTCCCAGGTACAGACTAGCTAACTTGACTAGAGTTACTTGCCAAAAATCCAATCTATACAGATACACACTATACTTGCGATGGAGAGTGCCATATATGTACAGCGATTCTGTGAGAATAGTCGGTTGTATCCCGGTGGCATACTCATCGCCTTGCTCCACGTAGTAGTACCAGAGACGACGTAACTATCGTTGATGACTAGGAGAATTATACAGGCAGTCGATAGGATTGAACAGTTACAAGGACTGATTGATAATTGGGTATATAATAAACTGGTGTTTGAATAATGATAATAATAATAATGGGAGAATCCAGAGAGTATCAAAACGCTGTACTTTGGCTTCAGTCTGCAGTCCCTACCTAGGTACACTCTACGCACCTCTCAGCTGCCTAGCTGCCTGGCTGCATCGCTGTCTAGATAACCACTACCACTCTACCTCTCCTCTTCTCTACCTCTCTCCTATCTATCTAACTACCCTCTACCTCAATCGTCGCTAATATTCTCTAAAAAAAGTCCAAGACAGCCGCCCCACTCGCCACAGCTTGGCTGGTTTTGCGGGGGATAGATAATAGACCAGGACGTGAGTGAAACCAGATTCTGTTCGATCTCGTCCGTCAGTCTGGTTCAGGATCAGGAGCTTATCTCATGCCGCAGATGGTTCTGGTTGCCCGCTCCCCGCTCCAGCTGCACTGGCCTCTTGTACATTTTCCCGCCCGTTCGGTTATCCTCGCTCCCAGCTTTTCGCTTCTGCACAATCTTCCCCTTCCCCTTCACCTCCGTCCCCAGCATCGTCAGAATCCCGTCTTCCAACGCCTCGGATACTCGACCATGGCCTCCGTCGACAGCAAGCAGCCCGCGCTGGACTTCTTGTCCTTCGTCAACGCGTCTCCCACCCGTAAGGGCTCTTCTCTATCCACCCCCTTCCGTCCCCACCGATCGATCCCTTGTTGTCTAACCCGCCCTTAAGCCTTCCATGCCGTCCAGTCCGCCAAGGATCTGCTCGCCAAGGCCGGTTTCCAAGAGATTAAGGTATAGTTAACTAGCTGTCTAATTGTTCGTGAATCGTTGGACCACGTCCGTCTTCTCACATGTGTGCATTAGGAACGAGACTCGTGGGCGTCTACCTGCCAACCAGGCGGCAAGTATTACCTCACTCGCAATACTACGACCCTCGTGGCGTTTGCCATTGGCAAGAAATGGAAGGTGTGTACACTGTATAGCATCATCGGTAACAAGCGGGAATCGTGTCATGCTCATCTGGAAATTTTTATCGGTAGCCCGGTAATTCGATCGCCATGATCGGTGCTCACACCGACTCTCCCGTACTCCGCGTCAAGCCTGTGAGCAAGAAGAGCGGCGAAGGTTTCATCCAGGTCGGCGTCGAGACCTATGGTGGAGGCATCTGGCACACTTGTTGGTATCCTCCATTCGATTGGCATGCTGCACGTACTCACTCGTGACAGGGTTTGATCGTGATCTGGGAGTTGCCGGTCGTGTGATGGTGCGGGCAAAGGATGGTTCCATTGTCCAGAAGCTGGTCAAGATCGACCGACCCAGTACGTATTCTCTCCTTCGTTTCTTATGCCCTGCGGCTGTAAGACTGACCGAACGGGGTCTAGTACTTCGGATTCCCACTTTGGCCATCCATCTGGATCGCCAGGAGACATTCGCTTTCAACAAGGAGACCCAGCTATTCCCCATTGCCGGCCTCGCAGCCGCAGAGCTCAACCGTACCCGTCCCTCCCAGGAGGCGGCGCCCGAAGCGACGGCGGATAAGCCCGGAAATCTGGCTCCGCTCAAGGCCATGACGGAGCGTCACCATCCTTACCTTGTCGAGCTGATCGCAACCGAGGCCGGTGTCACCCCCGCTGACGTGTTGGACTTTGAATTGATCTTGTTTGACACGCAAAAGTCCTGTCTCGGTGGCCTACTGGAGGAATTCATTTTCTCCCCGCGCCTGGACAACCTCAACTGCTCCTTCTGTGCGATATCCGGCCTGATCGACTCCGTGGCCGAGAAGTCGGCGCTGGAGGACGAGTCGTCCATTCGTCTGATCGCTCTCTTTGACCACGAGGAGATTGGCAGCCGCACCGCCCAGGGTGCCGACTCCAACGTCCTGCCCGCCATCATCCGCCGTCTGTCCGTCCTCCCATCCGGCCACTTTGAGGATGCCGGCTCTGAGGCGTCCTACGTCAAGGCTGGGGATGTGGATCTCTCCACCGCGTACGAGCAAACTCTATCGACCTCCTTCCTGGTCTCGGCCGATATGGCGCACTCGGTCAACCCCAACTACTCGGGCAAATACGAGGTCGACCACCGCCCGGAAATGAACAAGGGGCCGGTCATCAAAATCAACGCTAATGCCCGTTACGCCACCAACTCGCCTGGCATTGTCCTCCTGCAAGAGGTCGCCCAGAAAGCGGCGGAGGACGGTGGAGCGTGCGTGCCTCTCCAGCTCTTTGTCGTGCGCAACGACTCGAGCTGTGGCAGCACCATCGGCCCCATGCTGTCTGCTGCCTTGGGCGCTAGAACTCTGGACCTGGGGAACCCGCAACTGAGCATGCACAGTATTCGCGAGACCGGCGGTACCTATGATGTGGGACATGCCATCAGACTCTTCGAGAGCTTCTTCAAGCACTATTCTTCCCTGTCCAAGACTATCTTTGTCGATTAATTTTGTGTCTATCGCCTCTTCACAGCATGAGAAATCACTATAGCAACTTTTTTTCTTTTACCGATACTTTCGAGTTTTCTTCTTTGTCTTAAATGGCGTTTCTCTTACCTGACCACCGCTAAAAGTCCATAGATTTTCTTCTATCCATACTACGAATTTAATCGCTAACGATTTATATAATGAGAGTAACTACAGCCTGTTTGCTTCATCCTCTCCCGTGGATTACCAACTACGCGGCTCAAAGGTCATTTTCACATCCTCCGGTCTTACCAGCAGTCTTGATTCTGGGGCCTCCTCTCGACGGCTTCTTCTCGGTACTACCGTCTGGATGCCAATCCCTTCCTTCCACAAGCCAGAGTCAGTCTGGAACAGGACTAACCTCCGCTCAAGCTGCCAGAAAATACGTTTGACCAGGGTAAAGCGAGGGGCCCTGGTAACAGGCCACAGCACACACCACCATCTCCCTTACTTGTTCTCATCCCAATCCCGGTTCTATCACAGCAAATCAAGCAATAATGCCTCAGATCAAGAGATAGACCCAGATGGCGCCACATCGACGGTCTCCTATTCATCAGCTGGTCCGCTAACCCCCTGCACGTACTGTCGTATGGAGCAGGATGCTGATCAGTGAAGCGTCTTGGCTTTCTCCTCCCAGAGCCGACGTATCAGAATGCAACAAGGCCTGCTCTGTGGACTTTCGGGTGCATCTACCCCGCAAAAGTTCACTAATACTGTCATGCTTGAACGATCCTTGCCTTCTCCGCATTTCTCCGCATTCGTGCCACAGAACGTGGGATGATTACAGATCCTGGAGCACAGCATGGGTTAGAAACCATAGACGACATGAAACGATCACTGCGCGCGGATGGTCTTCTAGAGAATGGTTAAATATCAAATTATGAGCCATGTCTTGCCTCTGTGCAGACCTCCTCTATCTCAATTATCAAACCTGACCTTCTCCTACCGCCATGAGGAACCATATGGAACTTGGGTGGTTTTATTCTCCCAGCCAGATTTCCCATTACTTTACGACCCGTATCTCCAGCTTGAAACCTCCAAAGGTAAATCCTCGCTACTTGCTCCTCGCTACTTGCTGCCCTCGAATTGTTCCCAGGATTTGTGAAACTCCGATGTTGACACCCGTGCTATTTCTGTAGACGAAGCTCAAGAATCCTTATAAAACCTTGAAGCAGCTCAACCGCCACCAATGGCTCATGTTTGCCGGCGGGTTCACTGCCTGGATATGGGATGCCTTTGACTACTTCACCGTCTCGATGACCATGACCGCCATCGCGGAAGATTTCAATGTCTCCTACAATTCTGTCTCATGGGTTAGTCGTTTCATCTCCCAAATGATTAGAGCGACTCACCCTCATGGCTCATGTAGGGTATGACCATCACGCTCATGCTCCGGTCTGTGGGTGCGCTCATCTTTGGATTCTTTTCCGATCGGTACGGGAGAAAATGGCCGATGGTCATCGATCTGGTCTTCTTCATCATCCTCGAGCTGGCCTCGGGGTTCTGTCAGACTCTGCCGCAGTTCCTTGCGGTGCGTGCGTTGTACGGCATTGCCATGGGAGGTACCACACCTAGAACACTTCTTCCATGGGGATCTCATCTATGGTCCTCTTTTGTTAAACAGGGGGTTCTTTTCTTTTTGCTAATATGATAAGGCCTTTATGGACCAGCCGGGGCCACCGCGCTGGAAGACCTCCCGTACGACGCTCGCGGCCTGCTGTCCGGGCTGTATCAGGAAGGGTATGCCGTGGGATATTTCCTGGCCGCGGCCTTCTACCGAGCTCTGGCGGTGACGACTCCGCACGGCTGGCGGAGTCTGTTCTGGTTCGGGGCCGGTCCGCCGGTGCTGATCATCCTCTTCCGCCTGTGGCTACCGGAGACAGACCATTTCCAGGTGATGAAGGCGGAGCGGGAAGCGTATGAGCGTGAGTTGCGCGAGTCCGGACAGGAGGTCGCCTCGTTCAATGTGAAGAGGTTTGCCGTCGACGCCGGCCAGGCAATCAGCCAGAACTGGTTCCTCTTCCTCTACATCGTGGTCATGATGACGGGCTTCAACGGCGTCTCCCACGGCAGCCAGGACCTGTACCCGACCTTCCTCGAGGACCAGGTGGGCATGTCCGCCACGGATGAGACGGTGGTGACCATCGTCGGACAGGTGGGCGCCCTCCTGGGCGCCATGACGGTCGGCTACATCAGCACGTTCTGCGGGCGCCGTCTTTCGATGATGGTCGCGTGCATCTTCGGCGCCGGCCTCATCCCGGCATACGTCTACCCGCGCAACCTGTCCCTTATAGCCAGCTGCTTCTGGGAACAGTTCTGCGTCGGGGGTGTCTGGGGCCCCATCCCCATCCACCTAATGGAACTCTCGCCCAAACCTATCCGCTCCCTCCTTCTCGGACTAGGCTACCAGCTTGGGAACTTGGCCTCCTCGGCTTCAGTGACTATCGAAACAACCATCGGCGATCGGTACCCGCTCCCCGCCCTGGCCGACGGCACAGCCCGATACAACTACGGCAAGGTCATTGCCATCTTCCTCGGCGCTGTCTGGGCATATATTTTCGTTTTCCTCCTTGTCGGGCCCGAGATGACTCAAGAGGAACGCGACGCGGAGATCGAAGAGGCGCGTCAGCTGGAGACCCTGCGCGCGCAGGGAATCTCGCACCTTGATATCGGCCACACGAGGAGAGCCCTGGAGAAGTCAATCGAGGTACATGATTTGGAAGTGGGGGATAAAGCAGCCGTCGAACATGTCGAGTAGCCTGATCTGCATGTCTTTCTATCCACTCTACCTAGTTACCTACCTAAGTTTGTTAAGTTTATCTATTTATAGTTGTCTACATAATTAAATAATAAGATAACCTCTACTCGAGTCGTAGATTGTTCACTAGCGTCTGAATTATGTTCAACTAAGCTTCTCATCCGGTTTGACTCTGCGGTCGAGAATCTCATCGACAAGACCCAACTCCAGCGCCTCACCAGCGCCCATAAAGTAGTCGCGCTCCATCAGTTTCTCGATCTCATCGAGCGAGAGCTCCTTCTTCCCCGTCAGGTGGCGCTTGTAGATCTTGTTCAGCTCGTGGCGGACGCGCAGGATCTCCTTCGCGTGGATTGCAATGTCCGACGCCTGGCCAAAGTGGCCGCCGGACGGCTGGTGGATCATGATCGACGAGTGAGGCAGGCAGTACCGTTTGCCCGGGTGTCCGCCGCAGAGCAGCAGTGAACCCATCGAGGCCGCTTGGCCGACGCAGATCGTGCTGACGGGCGAGGCGATGTAGGTCATTGTATCGTAGATGGCGAGGCCTGGATTACCATCAGCTTAAACCTTTGTTCTACAAATATCCTTTGATTCTTTTCGTACCAGCTGTGACCGACCCGCCCGGGGAATTGATATATAAATGGATCGGCTTCTGGGGGTTGTCTGCTTCCAGGAAGAGCAGTTGGGCCACGATGGTCGCGGAGAGGGTATCGTCGACGGGGCCATTCAAACAGATAATTCGTTCCTAAACATCCATTTTTGGTGAGTTCATGATTATCGATTTGTTCGTTTCAAGAATGTAGCTACCTTTAATAATCTAGAGAAGATGTCGTCTGTCTCGGGTCAATACTGTCGCTGATTCCTCTATGGAAGCACCTTACACGTGTGCCAACCTCCTCCCTGGACAGATATCAGTACGCCATTGACCTGTTATCTCCAATCCAGCATCCCACATACCACTGTTTCCGTCACAAACGGCGTTGGTGTCCATCCATGGGGGGGGTTCGTGATCGATTGCAGTGGCGTGCGGCTTGTAAATGTCCGTGACAAGGGAGATTGGAACAGTCTTTGGCGGCCGAGTCGCGCGAGCCGTGGTAAATACGAACCAAAATCCATTGTGCTAGCAGGAAAGGGCAAGAATAAGACAATCCCAACCGTTCGTTCGTTGTTGTTGTCGTCGTCTTGCTTTGTCTTTCCTTTCGGCAAGAGCGGCGAAGCTCCGAAGACGGTTAGCGCGTTCCGCTGCCTGCTTATCTGTTTGATAAGTGATTTTCGACGTCGGCGAGAAGATCGCAACAACAACGAAGACTGTGTGTGTTCGAGCAGCTCATGCTGGACCGCTCGTTGTGGCCATGAAGTGTCTTCTAACACGCGCACCGTACTCGTCATGGCGTCTCGGAGTGTTCAAAAAGCTGTTCGATGTCCCTCACCCCGCCTCGTACGCGTCAGCCGTTTCCAAGCCGCAAGATGCGTCGAAAGAGCTGTCTGAAGGGCCCAAGGAGGCTGTTCTACGACCTTCGGAACTACTTCCTCAGTCTCCTGTGATAACCCATCCGCGGCCTGGGCCGCACAAAAAACGGAAGAGACCCCCGACCGTCGGGGAACTTGAAGAGCTTCGCAACAACGCTTGGGCAGTGGCTCTGGCATCGCCGGTTCGAATGTGCAATGTCACCGAGCAGCGGATTCCGAAAGTCATGCTCGATGATTACCATCTAGTCCAACAGCCTGGCTCTGAGAAGCTGTGGATTCTACCCTCGATCGCGTTCAAAGATGAGCTAAGACGAGCAAGGAAGCAGAGCAACTCAGGGGTGAAAGAGGGGAAACAGGGGGAGTCGCAGGGTTCTCTGGGCACTTTGGATCTGTCGATTCGAATTTCCCAACGCCTGTCAGTCCTGAAAGTAACAACTGAACAACTTTGCGAAGCAGCCGCGGGTAGACGGGCTAAGGTAACCCGAATAATACCTTCTCGATGGAAGCGCTGGATCTTCGGCCCTGGCCGGAAACCTGACAGCATCGTTTGGCGGGAGGATATGCCGGACTTTGTTCTCCAGCAGAAGAGGAAGGAGGTGGTCAAGAAAATGAAGCGAGTCTGCGCGAGTCACAAGCCGCTGGACCCTCAGGATGGCGCGTGGAGGGTCATCGCTACGCATACCCTGTCAGAGGCCGTGCTGGTCGATGGACTAGCCAAGATAGAAGGCCTGGAGCGTATGGAAGATGGTGCCGTTCTAGTTATGGGCAGCTGTTACAATACCGGTCAGAGCGAATACCCCGATCTCGTCCCATTGCCACAGCGTCAGTCTAAAGTGCCACTGTTTGATCTACGAACCCTGCTCTCAAAGGCTGAACTCGATGACCTCAAGGGGTTCCGACCTCTTTTTGAGAACGATGTGTTTTTTTTCAAACCAGGTGATCGGGCTGGAGTGGAACTGCTGCTGGCTCTATGGTCTTTGAAGACCTATGTCACCGAATAGCGAGGAAGGGAAATTTAATATAACTTATTGGTCTAATAGGTATCATGGAATCTATTAAATCAAATCACAGTAGTAGTAGTAGTAGTAGTAGTAGTAGTAACGTATCATGATTCAGCTTCGAGAAGATCCGAGAGCTTATCAAGATACGCTGCAGGCTGAACCGTTCCTGTGAGTATCTCTTCCTTGGAGCTCACGCCCGTCAGCACGGCTAACGTCCCGCCGAGCTTCCCCTCGATACCGAAACGGATGTCCGTGTTCAGCCGATCGCCGACCATACAGGCGCGGCTGCGATCGAAGTGGAATTTCCCCTCGATGGCATCCATCATGGCCTGACTGGGCTTCCCCAGGGCAACGGGGTCCTGGCCCAGCATCATAATCAGGGGGGCGCTCATCGACCCGGCACCGGGGAACAACGACCCGGAGCTTGGCAGAGTACTGTCAATGTTTGTTGCGAGGAAGATGGCACCGCGCTTGACATAGTGGTATGCCAGCGCGATCTTCAGGTAGTTGATGTGGAAGTCCAGCCCGACGAGCACGACGCCGACCTCGGGATCGATGACCGAAGGGTCGTCGCCGGCCGCGATCCGCTTGTAGTCTTCCGGGGTGATGTCGCGACGCAACGCAGGGTCCGTTCCACCGATGAAAGGGACGTTTTCTGAACGAAGCTCCTGTTCGATTCCCGTCTCGCCAATAACGAACACCTTGCGTTTGTCTGCGGGGAGCTTCAGGATGCGGGAAATATAGATCGAAGCGCTGTACGAGGAGCAAAAGATTTCTTCCTGAACCGATATAGATTAGATTGGCGTCTCTCGTGCAGTATGGGGAGGTCATATACGGGATTGCTTGGGATCCCGAGTCCGGTCAGTTTCTTCTGATAGTCGACTCGGGACTTGGTGCTGTTATTCGTGACGAAGACAACCTGCTTTCCTAATGCATGGTCAGCTTAAAACCCATACCTAGGTATCCAGTGTAAAACGCACCCCTGCCTCTCAAAAGCTCGAGCGTCTCGACCGTCCCAGGGAACAGGTAATCTCCAGACCAGAGCACGCCTAAACAATCCACCATCAGCTGAACGTTCCATATTGCAAATCGGTTCCACCAGCCGAGTCTATCGAGAAGGCGTTACGAACCATCACAGTCGAAGAGAAAGACCTGTCACAGCGCATTTCAATTAGTTGGTTTCAATATTGACTCCAATATAGCTATACGGACATCGAACTTGTCCAGGAAGCTCTTGAGGCCTGCGGCGTCTCCTGTCAAATAGCGCGGTGCCATGGCGGGGTATCGAGGTGGTTTATACAAAACGATGGGATGAGTTTCGGTGTCCAGGGAGTCAGAGGCGAGGCGAGTGTTTTAGATCGACTCGATTATTATGAATTGGTTTGAAAGATGACAGGTACAGATCATGCAATCGACGAGACGTCGCAACCTGCAAGCCGACGGTGAATGAATCGGGAAGAACTGCGATCTGGTCCAGCCGGTTCCTCCGAACCCTATCAACGCTATCAAGCGACAAATGTTTGCCCTTGAGACTTGGAGATATCAGCCATTCTAAACATTTACTTGTGGTCTGTACTCTCATTTACTATATGTAGGAAGTTTAAATGTCCATTATCGTCAAAGTCCACGTATATCCAGAGTTCAAAGTATATATACACCTGGCGCGCCAGCGCTCCTTAAATATAGTATGCCAAAATCTTTCATCGCGGGATTGGAACAATGCGTCCATCGGTGCCGACTTGTAGGCCAAATCTCTCGCGAAGGAAGGTCGCGGTCTCGTTTGACGGCACATACGACGAGGTCCGGCGTGGTACGGTGGCGGGGGTGTAGCGCCACTGGTCTCTGATGAGATCGACCAGCCCCATATCCATAATGACGGCCTCGCCGGATGAGAAAAGGTCCAATGCATGGCCATCCTTGTTTCCGGATCCTTCCTCAGTATCCTCGGCCAAAAGTTGGGTGTGTTCTAAGCCACCATCCACATCCGCCCGAGGGTCGAGTGACTCGAGTTCAATTTCATCGGGCGGGGTATCAGTCTCCTGGCGTAGGATCCCTCTCTCTTCGGCATCATGATCCTGTTGTGGACCTGTTGTTTGCTCGGTTGTGGCGTCATTGTCATTGCTGTTGTTGTTATTGTTGGTGGTGGTGGTTGTGCTGGTCGACTTGGTGATCTTGACACGTTCCACAATGAGCCCCAGCATGATGAAATCGATAATGAGTATGAGTACATCTAGCGATAATAATCGTATCCCCGACACGGGCGTCTTCTCCCCTATGAAATCAATAAATAGTCCCCCGTGAAGATACCCCCGTGTCTCTTCTCCCGCCTGCGGATGTGTAAAGAAGTGGTGGAAGAGCATGCAAAACAGATTGCTCGCAAAGATCGCGCCGATAAAGGGCTGGTTTCGGGTCGGGTCGAAGGGCGAGGCTTTCGGCGTAAAGAAGATCAACTGAACGATAGCGCGGACTGCAAACAATATGACCGAGCAGCTAGAGCTGTCAATGACCTGTTCAACGGCATCCTCGAACCGGGAGTCAGCGCTTACTCCATGTAATACAAAGCAGATAGCTCGCAGTAGATCAGGATATCGAGATCCCGCAACAGGCGATCGATGAAGGCCACCTTAGCCGACCGCTGGGCCCTTTTCCAGGCCTCCTGCTGCCGTCTGCTGGCGTCCAGGGAGGAGCCGTCTCCATCATCCACGCTCCCGTAGCCGATGCAGGAGACGTCAGCGATGAATTCCGCATCGCGAAAGGCATCCGGAGAGTTCATAGAGGCTCATCAGGGCATGCGAGACCATCTACTGGAGCATCAGGCACTACCGAGCGCGCTGCGCGATGTACAGAGTCACAGTCTCCAGGCGTGGGTGTAACGCGAGGTGTTGAGCCGCGGACTTTCCTCGGGCCGAAACGTCCAGAAAAGGAAGGCGCGATTATCGGCCTCACCTGATCGCAGGACGACTTCAAACTTCCCCTCTCGACGCAACAACTGTCGAGAGTCAACGTCTTCCATCGAGGGACTCGGGGGACTTTCCCAAGGCTCCGGGGAGTTGAAAGTTCATGATGGGGCCCAAACGACTCGGTATGGAACTCGATCTGCCTATTGAACCCAGCATCTACAATATACTAGTCATGGAAGAAGAGGTTGACCTTTGGCCTCCTTTCCGGTGAGTCATTGATTTCTTTCCGTTGGAATCAATTTTTTATCTTGTATTAACGGCATCTGAGATAGCATTTAAAATAGATGATTCTTGTCTAGAGATGAATAGAACTGCATATATATTTCAAGGAAGATGGCAACTACCGGCATCACAAGCAGGAATCGTCAAAAACACCTACTGCAATCATTTATTAAATACACTAGACTCGAGCACTTTTGACCGGCGAGCCATCTTGTTTGCAAACGATTCCAGAGGCTCATTTGCCAGCAGCTCGAGAATGGTAACGGGGGCATCAAGCTCCTTGGAGATCCAGTTTCGCATCTCCACTGCAACCAGAGAGTCGACCCCATAAGTGGAGAGTGACAGTGAATCGTCGATCTCATCTACAGAGATCATCGATAGCGTCGACACCTTTGAAATAATCCCATCCTTGACCAGCTTCTTCGCCTCAGATGCTTCGGTAACATTGCGCAGAACGTCTCTCAGACGCACTGATTTGTCCTGCATGCTGTTGTCACCAACCTTGATATCACTGCGGGTGCTTGTGTGGCGGAAGTGAGAAAACATTGGCTCCTGGAAGGCGAGCAATGAGCTATCTTCTTGCCAGGTGCCCAGACCAGTCACGATCTGGCTGGGCCCGTCAGTCCTTTGCCGAATGGCAGCAGAAAGAATCGCGAGGAGTTCCTTCTTTGTGGTGCCTACAAATCCTTGTCGATCGAGTGCTCGAGTGAGTTCTTGATTCTCTGAAACATACCCTACCTCTAGGATCACACCGAGATCAATGGTTGTCGCTTGTAGGCCAAGTCTGCGTCGATATTGCGCAAAGGCGTCCAGAAACGTGGATGAGGCCGCATATGGTGCCTGGCTGGCGTTGCCGACAATACCACATGTCGATGAGAGCATGAGAAAGAAATCAAGGTCCCGAGGCAGCAAATTGTGCAGGTTCCATGTTCCCTGGACCTTTGGCCGAATGACTGCATTGTAATCATCCAAGCCTAGATTTTCTAGTAGAGAATCACGGAGCACCATCGCGCCCTGGATCACGCCCCGGATTGGAGGCATATCTTTTGCCGTCTGCATAGCACGCGTAACTTGCGCGTCGTCACTGATGTCGCATGCCTGGACCAACACCCTGGCTCCAGTTGCTTCCAATTGTCTTACCGTCTCTTGAGCTGCGGATGACTGAGCGCCACTGCGGCTCAGAAAAACGAAATTGCGCACACCACAATCTGCCATCCAGGCGGCAACAGCGCGACCTAAGCCTCCTAGGCCCCCAACCAGCATGTATGAAGCATCCGCCCGAAACAAGGAGTCATCAGAGCGAGGAGCAACCTTGACCCGCTCGCCGGGTTGGGGCACAATGACAAGCTTCCCCATGTGTTTTCCCGTTTGCATCGTCCGGAAAGCAGTCTCTACTTCGGAGATCCCATATGTCGTAATGGGTGATGGTGGGCGCACCCTTTGAGCTCGAATCAGATCCATTACCTCAGACCATACTCGAGCAGCAACCAGCGGACGTTCTCGCATCACCCCGTCAAGGTTCACCGCGGAAAACGTGGTGTTGCGAGCGAAAGGTGCCATTTCCAGGCGTGTGTTGATCGTATAATCGCGTGATCCCAACTCAATGAACCGCCCAAAGGCGGCGATACATCTCCAGGTGAGCCGCAGCATCTCCCCAGCCACCGAGTTTATAACCACATCGACTCCCTTGCCGTTGGTCATACGAAAGACATCCTGATGGAAAGTGCCATCCCGACTGAAAAATATGTGGTCTTCTGGGATACCGAAATGAGACATGAGGAACTCCTTCTTCTTGGGATTGCCCACCGTGACGAAAATCTCGGCTCCCATCTGTCGGCTGAGCTCAATAAGAGCTTGGCCCACACCGCCAGCAGCTGCATGGATCAAAATACTTTCACCTTCACGGAGCCTAGCAATCTCGTGGAGGGAGTAATAAGCGGTACAGTAGATAATCGGCAACGAGGCGGCTATCTCGAAGGACATACCGGCTGGAATGACTTGCACCCCGCAGGCTTTCTCATAGATTCGGTTGGCGAATGCCCCAGACGAGTATCCAGCTACATGGTCACCGACCGCCAAGTTCTGGACCTGAGAACCGATAGCCGTCACAATGCCGCTGTACTCGAGCCCGGGACTACTGTAGTCCACCTGTCCCATGGCCATCATGACGTCTTTGAAATTGACGCCCACAGCTTGGATCTTGATTTCAACATAACCGGGTGCCAGATCGGCCATAACGCGCGTATCATCGACAAATTGGATCGTATCTAACATACCAGGCATGCCCACCTCTAGGTACAGGGGCCGGTCTGGCTGATCAAAAGCACTCAACTCTAGCTCGCCTTTTGTGAGTAAGCTGTTGATAGCCCGACTGGCTTCTCTGTCTGCTACTAGACGCGGGATGAAGATATGGCCTCCATGTTCAGCCATCTCTAGCTCGGGAGACAGCCCTTTGTCATCCTCTAGGTTTGTGAAGAGTTTCATGACAACCTTTGTGATTGTGCCTGCTGCTGCACCCTGATCCTTGGTCGTTGTAACGGAGTCCAAGTCTAATACGGCGACTCGAATCCCGCCATATTCAGAGCGGATCGTACGAGCAAAGCCGATGGCCAGATGGCCTGTTGGGCTTGCTGAACCTTGCACTACCCATAAAATGCCTGCAGCAGTGGCCGCGATCCTCTTGAGGCTTTCCAGTTGTTCTGAATCTGGCTGGCTGAGTAAAGACGGGCCGTTATAATCCAATATGATGCATATCTTCCCCGCGGGAGTGATGGATTTGATGGTTCCGACTTCGACAGTTGTTGCCCACGACGATAGGCGAGCCTCGAGGTAATCTTGTGAAATGTCCCCATGCAGTGAATTGACCATGACCGCGACGTGACGGCCTTTCGGACCGAGGTCCCTCACTGGCGCTGCATCAACCGCAGTTGACACCATCATTGAACCTTGATGCATGCCCTCGTTAGGAGAGTCCCAGACAGCTGCGTCTAGACCAGAAAAACCTGTTTTCTGAAGCAGAGTCTGCCACTGGGACTCTGTTAGTGTTGGTGCTTGATCTCGGCCATCTTTCGCGCCTGCCCACCATCCTGGCAATGTGCCGAAGATGGTCGACGTGAGCAATCTCTTGCGCGTGATTTCGACGAGTATCAATTTACCTCCAGGTTTAAGCAGCGAGCGGACATTGCTCATTGTCGTTTCCATGGAATGGGTGGCGTGCAGAACATTTGATGCAATTACTAGATCGTACGACTGCGCCTTGAATCCCTGCGTAATGGGATCTTGCTCGATGTCGAGCCTGGAAAAGTCAATCAAGTGCGACCATGCATTCAGTTTTTCCTTTGCTGCAGCAAAGAACCCGCTGCTAATATCAGTGAAGTGATAGCGAGAACAGCAATGCCCTCCGCTTGTTCCACGATCAAGAGCCTCAATCACGGGCACTGTAGCTCCGCCAGTCCCTGCTCCAATCTCAAGGATAGACATTCCTGGGTTCTTGTGAGCCAGGAGTTCAAGGTATCTCGTGGCCTGTCGGTAGTTTCTCTCTAAACGAGGGTTATCCGAATAATACGCTGCCAGCCGATCTTCTTCCAGCATGAGCTGCAGTGGTTCGATCTCTTGCCGGAGAATCTGCGGCAAATGACGGCCAACATGACAGAGCAAGCGTCCCTCGCTTCCTGAGCTCTCTGCTTGCCGCATTATTATTTCCACCTCTTCCTCTTTGGCTTCATACCAACCGGTAGTGGGCAGGTGGATCTTGCCCTCTAGTGTTTCCTGTATGAACCAATTCATACATTTCCATAAGAGTTGGTGATATGGATGCATCTTCTGGACAGTTTCCTGTGTGCAGGTGGACACTGCACGCTGCATGTAATGAAAAGCTGCCTGTTCTAAAACGGCGATTACCGCATTCTCCTTCGAGCCAGGCATTATATCGCTGCAAATGTTGTCGATATCCAGAGGAGAGAGAAACTCGACGTCCTGAGCCCAGGAAACACGGTTTGCAAGCTGGAGAAGACTATCTTGATTGCAGTCCCGTGAATTTTCATTGACGAAGGTGCAGACAAGATCTTTGATGGAGACAATCGGCTCCTCGTCCTGTCCCTCCATCATACTTGTGATAGTGGCCGCGACCTGGCGCGGATTGCGCCGTTCCGTCTCAGCAAATACATTCATAGCCTTCCCTGGATGATTCATTATGGTCGACGAGACGCGAAGCTCCTGGATGGAGATTGGCATCAAAGGAGCCTGTAGAGGCCCTGTTGCTGCCTCCACGGCGGGAAAGATAGCCTGGAAAAGGGCATCCAAGGTTGCTGGATGGATGGTCATTGAACTTTCGTACTCCATAGGCATGACAGCTCTGGTATTGGGAACCCTGAGTATGCACTTGGCCTTGTTAGCAGCCACATATGCTGTCTCCAGATTCGTGAATGTTGGTCCGAAATCAAGACCCAATGCCCGCAGTCGCCTGTAAAGGTCCTCCACATCGAACGCAGACGTGCAGCAGCCATTGAAATCAGCAACAAAATCTTTATACAATCTCCTCTCAGATGTCTGCTGCAAATCTCCGTTTACGTCATTGGTGCTCCGCTTGGCCTCCTGAACATGGACCAAGCCTCGACAATGTTCCGTCCATCGATCTTCGTCGGCGGCGGAAAGAACCGAAAACTCATACCACGCGTTAGAAGGGGCCATAAGACTGTCCATGTGAGGTTTGAGGGTGACAAGAGCTTCGACCTCCTCAGAGGCTGCTGGGAACACGAGAGCCTGCCCAATCACGATTTCTCGCAGGCAAAATCCCTTGACTTTCCCCGATCGTATTTGAACCTGCCGCATAGCAGCCTCAATAACCATGGCCAAGTATCCAGCACCAGGGAAGACAATGCTCGAAAGCACTTGATGGTCCTTAAGCCAGGGAATCTCGGAGACGCGAATCATATTTCGCCAACGCGACTCCAGCGAAGTCGAGGAGGGATCGGGCAAACCCAAAAGATCATGCCGGCCGAATGGAGGTGCGCGGTAGGCCTTGCTTATCCGCGATTCTGCCCAAAAGGCCTTGGAATGATTCCAAGAATATGGCGGAAGATCGACTAGGGGAGCCGGCTGGCTTCTTGATGGAGCCCCGGAATTGATAGCAAGCACGTTGACTGGATACCCTCGGACGAGAAGTGTCGAAACCAACTGCTGGCTAGTCTGAACAGCATTGCGGTCTCGCACAAGCATAGAGCTGTACGTGATGTTACTGTTCCGCAGTTGACGGTCGGCTTCAATGATCTGCCGGACTGGACCTGCAAGGGCTGAATGGGGCCCAATTTCGACAAGGACACTGATTGCTGAAGTGGACTGACGTTTTCGAGATTTCTTGGGTGGGCTTGTATCTGTGCATAGACTGCCCAGGGATTGGCAAAACCGCACTTCACCAAGAAGATTCGAAACCCAATACTTGGGACCGAGTGTGCTTGCATCCACTTGGGTGCCTGAGACGGAAGAGAAGAACTGTACATTGTGACAAGGGTTCAAGACACGAATATCAGCAATGGCCTGGAGGTATTCGTCGGCAACTACCTGCATATGGCGAGAGTGATATGCGACATCTACCTTCAATTGGCGAGCAAAAACCTTGTCTTTTTCCAATATCTCGAATAACTCATTGATTGCCGGCTTGTCTCCAGAGACGGTGATGCTGGAAGGGCTGTTGATGCAGGCGACTGTCACCAGCCCGCGCTTCACGGACGCCAAGTATGGCAGGGCGGCTTCTTTCGACAGGCCCACGGCCATCATTCCACCGCGCACGGATGGATTGTTCATAATTAGATCGGAAACCACACCGCGGTGAAAGGCCACAGCCATGGCGTCTTCCATACTCAATGCCCCTGCGGCATATGCAGCAGCAATCTCTCCGCTGGAATGACCCGTGACGGATGCAGGCAGGATATCCCACGATGCTAGCAAGTCAACCAAGGCGATTTGAATGGCGGTGCATAGCGGCTGGCTCAGGAACGCTCGGCTAACCCGGGACTCCTCTGCTGTCTTGGACAGTTCATCTAGATGTCTCGAGTCAAAGAAATGTCTAGAAAGAAAACGAACTGGCTGGGAGTTCTATTTCCTACTTACCTTTCAGGTCCCATGCTGCGCCAAGTTTCTGAAGATGTCTAGCAGCCCGGCAGATGGAGTGATCGAACACCGGGTATATATCTATCAACTCGCGACCCATGGCATGCCATTGGGCACCCTGACCGGTAAAGACAAACCCAAGAAGGGGCCGTTCAGGATTGGATTTGGTGAACTTCACTGTGTCCGCTTTAAGTGCCTGAACTAATTGGTCCCTCGACGATGCAACAAAGGCTGCTCTCCAGAGATGTCTGGTTCGCCTTTCACTGAGCAAGTATGCAAGATCATCTATAAACCCATCCTTATAGCGAGGCAAGCTTTCAAGATAATCGGCTAACCGTTTGGCCCAGGCTTTCCCTGACGTCTCGTCAAAGCTTGATAGAACAAAGACACGAGCACTTTCGGAGATATCCTCTTGCAGAACGCCCTCACGACATAGGGAGCCGTGGCCGTTGACTGCGCCGGGAACGAGGCTTTCTTTGTGCGATAGAACCGTGGGTGGTCTCAATTGTGCTGGAGGTATTCCTCGAGATCGCAAGTATCCTTCAGCCTCCTCTAGAATGCAGTGCACATTTGTTCCACCGTACCCGAAGCTGTTGATCGAAGCTCTCCGGATGCCATTGTCATTACTCCAGGGCTCTGGGACCGTTGGAACCTATGATTGTTAGACTGCTTTAGCAACCCCCAAGGGACTAAAAAAAAGAAAAAAAAAAAAAACACCACGGGGGCTCGCCTTCAAATTCCAGTCTGCAAATGGAATTGATTTGTTCGGGGTCTCGAAATTCCGATTTGGCAGAATTGTCTTCGTTTCCAGCATGTGCACCAGCTTGATAAGGCCAGCCATCCCACTTGCTCCCTCGAGATGTCCTATGTTCGTTTTGACTGATCCAATCCATAAAGGTCGATGAGACGGCCTGCCTGGACTAAAAACGCTGGCGATCGCTGACGCCTCTAATGGATCACCTGCTCGGGTACCTGTACCGTGACATTCCACATAACTCGTCTCCAAAGGATCGAGGCCTGCTTTCTCATACACACGCCGGATGAGTGCTTCTTGGGCATGGCGATTCGGGAGGGTGATGCCGGCCGTTCGACCGTCTTGATTCACTCCTGTGTTCCGGATGACACCGCGGATGGGATCTCCATCTCGCAGGGCTTGTTCGAGAGGCTTTAGAATTACACAGCCGACACCCTCTCCCCGGCCGTAGCCATTGGCGCGTTCATCAAAGGTATAGCATCGGCCGTTCGGGGAAAGAAATCTGAAAAGAGGTTAATAAGACCTCCCCTCTCCTTCTTCGCTACTGGCTAATAGGACCAATTCGTTGCTCACCTCATTGTCGACATACTGTTCAAGAATTCGTGACCTAGAATCACATTCACACCGGCTGCAATTGCTTGGTCCGCCTCGCCAGTTTGCAGACTCTGACAGGCTAAGTGGAGGGCGACAAGACCTGCCGAACATGCGGTATCGACGCTGACGCTGGGCCCACGAAAGTCAAAAAAATATGACAGTCGGTTCGACATCATGGCGCGGGACTGGCTGCTGCCGGTGGCCTGGTACAATGGCATTTTCTCGGCATCCCGAAGCAGCATCTCTGTATAGTCACTGCTGGCGGCACCGACGAAGACAGATGTGTTGCTGCCCACAACACTTCCTAGTGGGAGACCGGCTGTATTGTACACAAGATGGGTTAAACGACATATTATAAACTTCCTACACTGGATTACTATCCTCTTTACTAACCATTTTCAAGTCCTTCATAACAACATTCGAGCAGGAGTCTTTGTTGCGGGTCGAGGGCCTATTCGGAGTCAACAAACCACCGGCCTTACGTCTGCCGGACTAAAAGGTGTCGGTGTCGTTATACCTCTGCTTCAGCCTGAGTCAAATTGAAGAACGGTGCGTCGAAGCGCGCCAGATCTTCAGTCAGGAAATGGCATCCCTCGACGTTCGACTGACACGAGTCAGCTCCGCTAGATTTCTAGCCATTTCCCCTCCCGCTGAAGACGGGACTTACTGTGCCATTTTTGTTTGCATCTGGATGGTAGAATGCATCATTGTTCCATCTCGATTGTGGCACTGGGCTCCAGGCTTCTCGCCCCTCGAAAATCATCTGGTAGAAGCGACTGGGGTCTGTCGCATCTCCAGGCCCTCGAAACCCGAGCCCAATGACGGCGATGGGCATCACCTCATCGTTGAAACGAGGCCCAGCTTCTTCCTGTGAACCCATAATAGTGAAATCAAAAGAGAATATACCAAAACAAAGATTGAAGGTCAGTGACTGTGAGATACTAGATAGTTTTTGAAACTTCCAGAGCTACGCTGGCTGAGCAATAAATCACTCACAGTACTAATGCTCCGCGCTTGAAAAGAAATATTTACCCCATCCTCGCTTCAACGGGCCACGACCGCACTGGAGCCTTCTGCATTGACGATCTCTGTTATCAGAGGGCTATGAGGCAGGTGGCCGGCTATGGCTATCCCTTGCAGTCATCCATCGCGCGGCTGTTCAGAGCTGCGCAATGCGCCATACTAGTGCCTTGTTTTTTTTGCCACGATCATTGTATGGAGCACGGAGTACTCCGTCTTGATGGATCTGCAGGGCGATGTTCATATGGGGACTCGAGAAAGTATGGCTTACTATATGTAGGAGGTATGCTTAGTTACGGATGTTGGGGTACGAACTACTCCGGATGGAGAATCCACGACGTCAGATACCATGGGTGGGTGGGATGCAAGGGATATGCTATATTTTTATCCTAGCCGGCCATGGCACGCATGCCTAACTTTCGAATTGCATCTCCAATGGACCGTGCCGATTTTGGGTCGTTTGGGATCGCATGGCCTTTCTCGTGCAGAACCAAAACCGCCTGGTGCACATCACACCACGAGTACAGTTCCAGGGACTCCTGGTACAGGTAGTCGGACTTGCTGGTGACGTGGAGAGTCGGCATTATCAGGGGGATCTTGTGGAGCTCCGTCCGGATCACCATCTTCCCTTCGACAGCATGGAAGGGAGGCGGCGCATTGAAGAAAATGGCGCAGCGAAACGGCGGATCGTACGGAAAGCGGCCTAGATGTTGGGCAAGGAAGCCGTATGCCAGAGTACCGCCATGGGAATAGCCTAGGATTCCATCAAAAGGACCCTCCTCTTCCATGATTGTGTACAGCATCTCATATGCCGCCTGGATTGTCGCCTCGTCATGTTCGTTCGATGTCGGCGGGAAGGCATGGAAGCTCAGATACGGTCCCTCATAAAATCCCTCGATTCCAGGCCCAGCGGCGGTTTCAACCTCGCCTTCCACAAAATGCAGATGGGCGGTATCATCCCTGGCCAGTTCCCGCGAGATTGCTCCTTTCCAAAAACGTTCAGATTGTGTGCGGTCTTGGACTCCAGTTGCTTCAAAATATGTACCAACCTATTTGAGACTGGAAGATCTGGAAGGCCATCAGCATCTGATGAATGGACAAATAGAGAGAACACCCTCCCTCCCTCCCTCCCTCCCTCAATGACACAACTCACATCCACATTTGTTCCACTGCCATGCAGACAGAGTAGCCGGAGAGGAGGCATCGGGAAACCAACAATGAACAGGAAAGAGAGGAAAATGATACTCATACACAGCCGTCTATGCTCGTGACTGCAGAAAAGTTTCATCTAAAACCTTGATGAATGGTGCTGCATGGACCGATATAGGAGATATGCAAGGGGTAAAGAAGGCGCCCCTTCGTCACCTCCGACGATTCCACTCCGATGCAGGGGGGAAATGAGGATCACGGCGCTGGTTTGCGTCTGCATTCTCACCGCTATGGGCTGTGTTGCTAACCAAGGCTATTAGGGTAAAGAGATCTATCTGGCAACCCCTGGCAGATGAAGTACATTTCCGTTAGTTCAAGATTATCAAGCATATTGTGTACATACAGTCTTGGTCTCCGTCCGGTATTATCACGTCTCTATTGTATGAGGCCGCTTGTTGACCAAGCCTCGCTATGCTTTTGACAAACAGCATCGGTAAGGTTGGACGCTCACATTCGATGTTACCTACACCTCCATACAGACCGACCTTTGTCCCCTCAACGGTACCAAGCCTGATATAGGAATATACAACTACCATCTATCATGGGAAGTCTGGATCCGGTTAATCTTGGAGTATTTCCAACGCTGAATGATTGCTGCATCGACAGTGATATCACTTGCACGGCGCAGGAGCTCTCTAGAGAATTGCTTGACCGTGCGATATCATACTCTTCTGGCAATGGCCTGGATATAACGGCGCTTCTACGGACGGCGTGGTCCATTGTACTGCAACGATATGTTGAATCTGACACGCTGTGTTTTGCCTTTGGCATCAAGGATGAGAGCCTTCCAGCGCGTGATCTCAAGTCTTCTGTGTTACGAACCTGCCAAGTCTTGCTCGACCTAGAAGAATCTGTTGGAGACTTGTGGAAGCGACAGCAGACGATACCGGATCTGGATCAAGCCTACCATCGCCAGATCAATTACAATACCGGCATCTTCATTTCGAACTGTCCACCGGGAGTGGATGCTACAGGCCTTTTCGCGGAGTTTGAAGCCTTGCACCCAGACGGCGCACATGTAAGCACCTCGTCCGAGCGTGGAAGATAGAGCTATGAAGACGTCGAGAAGGCTGACAATGTTAAAAAGTGCCAAGTTCTACTGGCCCTGGAAGGAGTCCTTCCTGACTCGCCACAACGACTGGTTCTCCTCGCCAAACCTTCCATACTGTCGGCTAAGCAGGTCCGGAATGTGGCTTCAACGATTGCCCAAGTCATATCAGAAATCCTGCTTGATCCCAGGCAGACTGTTTCCGAATTGAACTTGTTCAGCGCACAGAACGCCCGGGATGTGCTGGAGTGGAATAGTCGCGCGTGCCAGCAATTGACAGACTCGCCTATTGTCGAGGCTATACGCAAACGCAGCTGTGCACAACCAAGCTGTGTCGCGATTGATTCATGGGATGGGCAATTGACGTATGCGGCGCTGGAGTCAATCACCTCGAAGCTCGCTGTCCACCTCTACAAGTTGGGGGTTGGCCCAGATGTACTCGTGCCATTGCTGTTCGAGAGATCCATCTGGACCGTGATTGCCCAGCTGGCGGTGCTGAAAGCTGGCGGTGCGTTTGTGCCCCTGGAGCCAGCAAACCCCGATGCCCGCCTTGAATACATCGTTAAATGCACCAAGGCTCGTCTGATCTTGACGTCTGAGGCTTGTACGACCCGAGCGGCATCGCTGGCAGGCAGAGTTGTGACCCTCTCACGCTCTTCCATTACCAGTATCTGCCAGGGCCTTGATAATGACTGCATTGGCCTTTTGCCTCCGATTATTGATCTGGGTAAACCGGCATACGTCCTGTTCACGTCCGGGAGCACGGGACAGCCGAAGGGATGTGTTGTAGAGAATCGAGGCCTGGCGCAGTTGTCATGGCAGGCCTCATACGTGGACATTCGTCCAACCTCCCGCGTGCTTCAGTTTGCACCCTACAGCTTCATGATGTCTGTGCTGGAGACCTATATGTGTCTGAGTACCGGGGCCACTCTATGCATTCCGTCGGACGATAGTCGAGTCAACAACCTGCCAGGTGTGATGGAGACAATGAAAATCAGCTGGGCATGTATGACTCCTTCATTGTTGCGACGTCTAGATGCTGACCATCCGCCACCCACCCTACGCACCATAGGGATTGGAGGCGAGCCGATGGGTGAGCATGAATACAAGGCATGGGTCACCAAGGTGGGCCTGTTCTTTGGCTATGGAGTGACTGAGTGTGCCGGCTTCCTCAGCGTGTCGCTGTTGAAGGAAGGGCAGGTTGACTGGAGGGCGCTGCCTCCATCACCCACTGTCAGACTCTGGCTACTTGATCCCACAAACCACGACCGATTGGCTCCTGTAGGTGCGGTAGCCGAGCTGGCGATTGAAGGGATTGGTGTTGCAAGAGAGTATCTCGATAACCAGGACGCAACATCTGCTGCCTTCATCCAGGATCCTACCTGGCGGCGCACGATGGGTCCGCCGGTAGGTGGCCCAATCCGAATGTACAAGACTGGCGATCTCTGGCGGTACAATGGCGAAGGAGGCATTCGGCATGTCGGACGTAAGGGAACCCAAGTCAAGATCCAAGGAAAACGACTTGACTTGGAGGAAGTTGAGTTTCAGATGCGCCAGTCATGTCCAGAGAGTACACGAGTCGTTGCAGAGGCTGCTTCACCAGCTGCAGCCTCAAGCAATGACCCTCTGCTCATAGCTTTCCTTCACTCACCCGATTATCTTACCGGAGAGCCTCAAGCGGCTCTCACCACCTCCTCCTCCTCCTCCTCCTCGCTTCTTGCCGCCCAGTCATCGGAGACCTTTCGGAAAGATGTCTCGGCTCTACAGACGAACCTTCTGGCCGTTCTGCCGGGACATATGCTACCGAGTATCTACCTTCCCTTGAAGCTGGTGCCCTTCACCATCACTGGGAAGGTGGACCGACGAGCTTTGCGGGAGATGGTGCAACGATTTACTCGGGAGGAGCTGGAGGCCTATCAATCCGCCCCTGTCGAGCTTGTTCCACCTACTACACCAGTCGAGCGGGATCTTCATGGCTTCTTTGTGCAAGTGCTTGGGCTGGATGGCACTCGGTTTGGCATCCATCACAGCTTCATCCGCCTTGGAGGAGACTCCATGGCAGCGATGCGACTGGTGACCCTATGTAGAGCCAAATATTATCCCCTGACAGTCGCCGATATTCTGGAGAGGCAGAACATCTCTCAATTGACTCGGTTTCTGACTCAGAATTCAATCAAGATAATCCCGGGACATGCCCCGGATGATGACGATGTCGTCTTATCCGAGCCACAATCACTGAAAGACACAACTGTCTACTTTGAATCTATCAAATCAGAGCTTGCTGAAATCCAGATTCTGGACGCAGCGGACGTGGAAGACGCTTGCTGTTGCTCCCCCGTCCAGCAAGGCATACTACTAAGTCATGCGCGAAACCCGCACTACTACCAGGCAAAAGTCGTATGGGAGGTGGTCAGTTGCGCATCGGGATATGGCTCTAGTATTGACGTGGAACTGCTTCAGACTGCGTGGCAGAAGCTCTGCGCTCTCCATCCAATGCTGAGGACCGTGTTCATCGAGGCAGCTACTGCTACTCAGGAGACTCTCGCCGTGCAGGTTACCCTCCGGCATCGCACCCGTCGAGTCGAGGTCAGGAGCTGCTCTGAAAGCGAGGTTCTATCGCTGGGAGATGTCCATCGCCCTTCGATGCCACGCCGTGGCCTCGCCTGGCTGCCAGAGTTGAGTATCTACCGTACGATGGATGGGAGAGTGTACTGCGTGCTCGATATCCACCACGCACTAATGGATGCCATGTCCTTGCACATCATTACTCGAGATCTGGCAAGGCTCTACGTTAGGAACAGGCAAAATGATAATGGCAACAACGACAAACTTCTGAGGCAGACAAATTGTGCCTATACAGACTATGTCCGCCATCTGGCGAGGATGCCAAAGGAGCCAACGCTCGCGTTTTGGGAACACAATCTTGCCGGCATCGAGAATTGTATCTTCCCCAAGCTCAATTGGAAACTCAATAATTTGGAGCCATCGTGTCTGCGATCAATGAAAGTTGACCTCGGTACTCAACCAGACTGGTACTACCGATTCTGCAGGGAGGCCGGCCTCACACTTGCGAACGTCTTCAAACTCGCCTGGGCCTTGGTTCTCCGTACTTTCACTGGCTCGAATAGCGTCTGTTTCGGCTACATGACACTTGGCCGAGACATCCCCGTCGATGGGGTCGAGGAGGCTGTCGGGCCGTTCATCAATACGCTCCCCTGTTTCCTGGAGTTGGATCCTCGGGCATCACTTCTGCAGACAGCGGAGAAGGTGCAGTCCGAGTTCATCCGTGCTCTTCCCCATCAGCATGTATCCCTAGCCGAGATTCACAAAGCGCTGGCGGTTCGCAACGAGTCTCTTTTCAACACCAGCATGACCTTTGTGCCCCATCTGGACCTCCAGAACCAGGAGCCGGCAGCTGCTCCTGTTTCACTGAAACTGGTAGATATGCAGGGACCGACCGAGGTAGGAAAAGCTTCCTGATATACGTCTGTTTGGGAGATTAAAATGTACTAATCGGATATCAGTACGATATCATCATCGAGGTCAACTCGCAGCACTCAAGCCTGGAGTGTTCTGTCAAGTACTGGGATCATTTTTTATCAAAAGACCAGGCCTCACATCTGGCCAGCGCTTTGCGTGTTGCCTTGGATCAGATCGTTGGCTCCCCGCAACACACCGTCAGCGAGGTTGAACTGTTCAGCCCGCAGGACGAGCGGAAACTGGCTGAATGGAACCGAGATGCTCCCTTGGCGGCCAAGGAAGACTGTATTCACGATCTCTTTCAACAGTGCTGTCGTTCCCAGCCCGACGCTCTTGCCGTGTGTTCCTGGGATGGCACTCTGACGTACCGTGAGCTCGACTTGGAGTCATCCATTCTTGCCCACCACCTTCATGCTGCCGGAGTACGGCCAGAGACTTTTGTTCCGATCTGTCTGGAGCGGTCCAGATGGACCTTGATCGCCGTGTTGGCGGTAATCAAGGCAGGAGGCGCGTTTTGTCTCCTCGACCCTTCGCATCCGACCACTCGCCTGGCAGAGATATGCCAGGCCCTGAACGCCCCGATTATCCTGACCAGCGAGCCTCACGTCCACCGAACCGCTCAGTTGGGGGTGCCTACTACGAGCATGGTGGTCGGAGACACTCTTCTACAAAGAGATCCGAAGCAGCAGCAACTAGAGCCTGAGACGCTTTCCTCTGGCGTCACCCCGAGCAATGCTCTGTACGCCATTTTCACGTCCGGCTCGACGGGCAAACCGAAAGGTGTAGTCCTTGAGCATCGGTGCTTCTGTCCGGCCGCGTTGTCGTGCCCCGGGCCCCTCGATATGAGGCCCCTCGACCGAACATTACATTTTTGTTCCTATGCGTTTGACGTGAGTGTGATCGAGATCCTGGTCCCGCTCATTGTTGGTGCCTGTATCTGTATCCCGTCAGAAGAAGATCGAATGAACAATCTCCCACGCATCATGACCGACCTTCAGGTTACCTGGGCCGTTCTAACCCCGACGGTCGCCCGCCTCCTACAGCCCAACGCGGTCCCTACGCTGCGGACCTTGGTTCTGGCCGGTGAGGCTGTCCTAGCCTCAAGCTTTGAAGGCTGGAGCCCTCGGACCACTCTGATCAGCGCGTATAGTCCCGCCGAGTGTACGCCACTCGGGTTGGCGGCCGCTGTTGAAGAGTCCAGGCCTAATTTTCTAGGTCGGGGCTTTGCCTCACACGCAACTTGGATCGTGGATCCGCAAGACTGCCAGAAGCTGGTCCCCATCGGCGCCGTGGGAGAGCTGGTGATTGAAGGGTCCGTCGTGGGCAGATCCTATCTTCATGACCCGGATCGCTCACTGCCTGACTCGCCTTTTATATCTCCGCCGAGCTGGCTGGCTCGCTTTCGTCGCTCAACCATCTCGGAGCGACATTTATATCGAACCGGTGACTTGGTCCAGTACGCCTCGGACGGGCAGGTGCGTTTTGTTGGACGCAAGGACTTTCAGGTCAAGGTTCGTGGGCAGCGTCTGGAGCTAGCAGAGGTCGAGCACCATATCGAAAGACTGCTTCCCTGGGCTTCCAGTGTGGTTGCAGAGACCGTTGTTTTGGATGGAGAGAAGGACCGCCGTGCGATCATCGTGGCCTTTATCTCTTCGGCGACGTTTGGAGATGAAGTCACGGCCGAAGCATCAATAGCAGGAGGCGAAGCGACAGCAATTACAGCCGAATCTTCCTCCCCTCAACTGGGGCCTATCGACGAAGAATTCCAGGCGCACATCGCCAAGATGTCTTTGATTCTGCGGGACAAACTCCCAAGCTACATGCTGCCCACCATCTTTCTGCCTCTCTCCCGAGTCCCCTTGACCAGGTCAGGCAAGATCAATCGAAGACAGCTTCGCCATCTGGTGGCTACCATGCCTCGGGAGACGCTGGAAGGGTCTCAGCTGGGCCAGAGGCAAATGCCAGCTACTGAGTCCGAGTACTGGTTGCAGGCTCTCTTCGCCGAAGTTTTACACCTCCCCATCGAGAAGGTCTGGGCTGACAGTCACTTTTTCCGCCTGGGTGGTGACTCCGTGGCTGCGATGCAGCTGGTTGCATCTGCACGAGCACGCCATCATTTGGCAATGACGGTGGCCGATATCTTTCAGCATCCGCAGCTATGCGAGCTGGCCTCGGTGGTTTCAATCTGCGTCAATGGCCCATCTGCAACCGTCATTCCTTCTCCATTTTCTTTACTGCCAGAGGGGCAAACAGAGCGGATCCTCGGTGAAGCCACGAAGCAATGCCGTCTACCCTCCGAATCGATTGAGGACATCTACCCTTGTACACCTATCCAGGGTGGTCTCATGGCGTTGTCTGTACAACGCCCCCAGGCATACATCATGCAGCAGGCATATACATTGCAGCATGGTGTTGATATCGATCGCCTCAAGTGTGCCTGGAATAAGGTGGCTGAGGCACACCCAATACTCCGAACTCGCATCATTCAAGCTACCGGCACCGGCAGTTTCTATCAGGTTCTCGTTGCTGCTGTTGACAGGCCACCGGCTTCTTCTTGGATGCACAACAAAGCGGGCGATGAAACATCTCTAGGACTAGGAACACCGCTATTATGCCTGTCTTGGACTCCTCCCAGCGGTTTGGTTGTGACCATCCATCACGCGCTCTACGATGCCTGGTCGTTTCCATTGCTTCTACAAGAAGTTGAGCGCGCCTACCAAGGGCTCTCCTTGCAGCCACAGCCGTTCAACACGTTTGTTGCCCATGTCCTGAAGTCGATTGACTCCGGGGCCACATTCTGGGCATCTGAACTCGAAAATGTCCAGACCGTTGAGTTTCCAGCCCTTCCATCCATGAACTACATTCCAGACGCCCAGGAGATGGTGGTTAAAACTCTGCCGCTGGTGGCTAGGGCGAGCAATCAAGACGCCATAACTCTGGCAAGCAAGATCAAACTCGCATGGGCCCTGACGACCTTTTGCTATACAAATACACGGGATACCATTTGTGGTATCGTCAACTACGGACGTGGTGCGCCAGTTGTCGGAATCGAGAGGATCCTGGGACCAACAATCGCGACCACGCCGCTGCGAGTCCGGATCGACCCTGCCCAGAAGGTGAGGGACGCGCTGCATGAGATCCAAAGACGGGGCTTTGAGCAAACAACGCATGAGCATATTGGCCTGCAGAACATCGGCCAGCTGAGTGACTCGGCTGCAGTTGCGTGTCAATTCAACACCCTCTTGGTTGTACAGTCTAAACAGTCTGCATCCCAGGCCTCATGGTTCCAGGGTCAACAGAACATGTCAGACGTTGGGGCATTCAGCAGCTACGCTCTGACCCTAGTGTGTGAGCCTCGCTCTTCTGGCTCCATGATCGATGTCACGGCTGTCTTCGACTCCAAGGTCTTGCCTCCGCTTCAAGTGCAACGGATTCTTTCGCAGTTTGCGCATCTCTTAGCTCAGGTGCAGACTGTACCAGACCATTTATCGATCTCAGGGTTGCAGATGCTTAATCCACGCGATTGGGCGGAGTTGAAATCATGGAACCCATATCCCTCGGCCGTAGGCTCCTCCAGCAGATGCGTCCACGAAGCGATCCAGCAACAGTCTCAACTCCGACCAGACGCACGGGCAATCCATTCTTGGGACGGTTACCTGACTTACCAGGAGCTGGAGTACTATTCAGACCGACTTTCCCGACAGCTTCGGACTCGTGGGCGATTTGGCCCAGACTACTTTGTGGGTCTTTATTTCGAAAAGTCGCGATGGGCTGTCGTAGCTCAAATCGCGGTGCTCAAGGCCGGGGGCGCCTTCATCATGCTGGAACCCTCCTATCCCATGAACCGCTTACAAGAGATTTGTCAAACCCTTGACCTCTCACTCATTATTGCTTCCCAGCAACACCGACATGAAGCCACGGTTCACCTCCGCCGGCCGGTTGTCGTGGCCGATGAGATTTCAATCGCAAGGCCTATTTGTCTCGACGACTCGAGGAACATCAAGGCACGAGAGGGTAGTGATAGGACTGTGAGTAGTGTCACCGACGCTATGTATGCCATTGCCACCTCCGGAACGACGGGCAAGCCCAAGGTTGTGGTGACCGACCACGGACCGTTCATGGCGAGCGCCATGCCTTTGATAGAGAAGTGCGCCCTGGGGCCTGACTCGCGTGTGCTGCAGTTTGCCGGGTACAGTTTTGACAACATGATCGCGGATCACTTCTTCACCTTGCTTGCCGGTGGCTGTATCTGCATCCCATCTGCTTTTGAGCGAGAAAACTGCCTGAGCAAGGCCATTACAGATATGGAGGTCAACGTGGCTATGTTGACCTCATCGGTCATCCAATTGCTCTCTCCAGAAAAGGCACCCACCCTGCGAACATTGTTGCAAGGAGGCGAACCGATGCAGCAGGCTATCATTGACCGTTGGGCGTCAACCGGCGTGAGGTTGATGAACTGGTACGGTCCGAGCGAATGCAGCATCTGCTGTTGCATCAACACGTCGGTCACCCACAGTACCAGCCCGAACAATATCGGCCAGTCCACTGGAGGTGTATGCTGGATTGTCGATCCAGAAGACCCGGAACGACCTGTCCCCATCGGGGGCGAAGGTGAGTTGATCGTTGAAGGCCCCATCCTGGGACGGGGATATGTCAACGCACCGGACAAGACAGCCGCGGCCTTCATTGCCCAACCTCGTTGGCTGAACGATCTTCGAGGCCTGGATGGTTTGGATGGAGGTGCAAGGGTCTATCGGACAGGAGATATCGCCCGACACGGCCCCGATGGCTCCATCTACTACCTGCGGCGCAAGGATTCCCAGGCCAAGCTACGGGGCCAGCGTCTCGAACTTACAGAAGTCGAATATCATGTTCAGAAACACTTTCCAGAAGCTCTCCAGACTGTTGTCGAAGTCACCGCGCTGGCCTCTGATGATGAGCGCTCGACCGTGTTGGTTGCCCTCGTTCGAACCTCTCAAGCCAGCCAGTCGATGACAAGTGGCCAAGATGATGAGACAACTAAAATGAAGGGTCATAAGCCAGAAATTCTCCTGCCGGCTACACCTCAATTCCTAGAGAACGTACAAACAGCAAAAACTCGCTTGCAGGAACAGGTACCTAGCTACATGGTGCCCACTCTTTTTATCCCCGTCTCGTGGATTCCATGGAATGTCAATGGAAAGGTCGATCGGCCTCTTCTGCGTCAGCTTCTCACCTCGCTTTCCCGGCATGAACTCACTCATTACAGCCCAAGGCAAAGAGCCGATCCGACAACTGATCTAGAGCGTGAGATGCAAGCGATCTGGGCGCGCGTGCTGAACCTTCCCCGGGTAGGAGACGTCGGTATCCACGACAGCTTCTTTCGCATCGGGGGTGACTCAATCACCAGTATGCAGCTCGTCGCCCAATGCAGCGAGGCAGGGATTCCTGTAACCGTGAAGGAGGTGCTCAAACACCAAACAATCGCCAAATTAGCAGCTGAGGTCAGCAAGAATATTGCTCTTGTTTCGCCAGATAGGCTTTCCCAGCAGAAAGAAAAAACAGAAGAAGAAGAAGAGGTCGATGGCGCAGTTTGCGAGCTGTCACCCGTCCAGCAGATGTTCTTTGATTTTATTCCCCAGGGCCACAACCATTTCAATCAAAGTTTTTTCCTGAGGCTTGAGAAGCAACTGGATCCTAGGACCATTTCCGAGGCTGTCAGGGTTATTGTACAGACACATGGAATTCTGCGGGCTCGCTTCAAGAGATCTCAGGTTGGTGATCATCGGCTATGGACACAGCGCGTCGTCACAGACTATCTGGAGGGCAGCAGTCATCGCTTCCAGCATCACGTAGTGCAGACCCGGCGTCAGATGGAAGAGATCTGCGTCATCAGTCAGGGGTCCCTCAACATTCAGCACGGCCCCATGCTGATTGTCAACTTGTTTGACCATTCGATTGACCGAAAGCAATATTTGTTCATGGTGGCACATCACCTGGTGATCGATCTTGTGTCCTGGAGGATCATCCTGAGCGACCTTGAAGAGCTTCTGAGATCGAAGAAAGCACCCAGTGCTCCGCCAACATCCTTCTTGACGTGGTGTCGTCTCCAGGCTCAGTATACTGCGCATAACCTTCCTCCTCCAGTCTGTGCTCCGAAGAAGGAAGAACTCAGAGGTGAGGAAGGTACCCTCGCTTCTAGCTACTGGGGCGATAACATCCCAAACACCCATGGGGATGCATATTCTCGCAGTTTCAGTCTCGATAAGACGACCACCCACCTCCTATTGACCGGTGCAAACGACGCCTTTGAAACCCAGCCAGCGGAGATCATCCAAGCCGCTTTGTTGCATGCTTTTGTCCAGGCCTTCCCGCAGCGCCCAGCCCCGCTCGTCTTTACCGAAGGGCATGGCCGGGAGCCATGGGATGCGTCGATCGACTTGACACGAACTGTAGGCTGGTTCACCAGTATCTGGCCCGTCTCAGTCGCATTGAAACCTGCAGACAGCATCATGGAAGCCGTCCGACGTACGAAAGACGCTCATGGCACAATGACGTCTGCCGACGGCTGGGCCTATTTCGCCTCGAGCTATCTTCATCCACAGGGGCGCGAGACGCGGCTCAAACAGTACCAGCACCAGCGGCATACCCCGATGGAGTTGCTGTTCAACTATCTGGGCCGATACCAGCAGTTAGAGCGTCCGGATGCCCTGTTGAAAGTGGATCAAGCGATCCCTATTGCCTCAGATATTGCAAAGGATATGCCCCGGTTTGCGCTACTGGATGTCTCTGCCGTGGTCCAGGATGATTCGTTGCATCTCAAGTTCGTCATCAACCGGCATATGGCCCATCAGGAATCTCTACAGCACTGGGTTCAACTCTGCGAGGCTTCTCTGAGGGATGTGGCAACTCAGCTGTTCAACATGGATGGACATGCTCCTTCTGACTTTTCCTTGTCTTGATGGTTACAGGGGTTGTTGCTGAGAAATTGTGGTATATCGGTGGTGGCTGTCTTAAAAAAAAAAATTCCCTTGCTTCAATAAATCCATTACTGTCACTTGAGGTTATTCAGAAACTGCGTGTTACATATTTTAAAATAGCTGGTAGAAGAAGGCTGAGGATAAATGAATAGAAAGGATTCAAATACCCTCTAGACTTGTATTTTTGCTCTCCCAGTCATATAGCACCTCTTGTTGTTGAGACTTCCAGTAGATGGTTAGCATGGTTAGTTAGCATGGTTAGTTAGCATGGCGGCATTCGTTTCCTCCCTAGGATATCGACTCAATGCGTGGCTATTTCCCTGAAGCCTGAGATTTTCACTTTCCCATAATTAGAGTCACTGGTATATTGATTCCCTAGATGGCAGGACAGCAGAGGTTGATGAGAGAGAGAGAGGGAGAGAGTGTGAGAGAGAGTGAGAGAGAGAGGGAGAGTAAGAGTGAAAGGCTGAAAGGCTAAGCCATAGAATGATCATGTGACGAGTGTATGCCTGAGGCAGAATCCCAACGGGTACTTCGGCACCTCCTGGTAGAATTGGACTTCACAGCAGTGCTCCATGGCTATTATCATCAGTTGATCCTCTATAATACAGCCTCAATCTCCAATCCTCAGTACCTATATATTCAATAATAATCACCTCATCCTGTCTTGCTGTGGAGAGTCTGCCTGCGAGAACACGTTGCCCCTGAAATCTCTACCGGACCAGAAATCCCAACGGTAACCCGAAGAACAAACACAACAAGTGCATTTAGTTACTTATAATAACTAACCTCGGACCGTGTCCACCAGTCCCAATTGC